AAGGGGTAGACAATTGGGTGTACTGTGTATAAGGTGTTTTGCTGGGAATGTACATAGTACTGGGGGCACAATTACAACAGCCCATAACCAAACTACACACAGCTACATGCTGCTATCTGGACTTTGGTGCACAAATGGATCTGTGAATCTTATTGCTGTGAATAATCAAACCAGGGCTTACTGCCTGATTCCATACCAAGTGGTCAAGCTGGTTTGGACAATATCCCATTTCTCTGTGAACATTCAATGGACTTATGATATGGACAAAAGCAAGCAAAACCTGCAGGGTAGCTTGTTGCAACTACCAGCAACTGGACACATAAGATCGTGACCTCGTCGAAGGAGGAGAGACAGTGTTTTGGGGGTGTCTCGGATGTTGGACCATACTGCAGTGGTCAGGACTCGGTGTTGCTGTGGATTTTGTATTGTTAACTGTACTTGTGTTATGTTGCATATGGAGATAATCTATAAGTAATGTAGTAAGCCCTCCAAACCCTACAGTGTACTAGACAACCCGGACCCAACCTTCTCGGGCCTGCTATAATGGGAAGTCTGGAACACTAATTGGAATAGGTGTGGTATGCCCGTACGAGAGAAGGTGCAGGGCACTATACAACACAAGGGGCAGTGGGACAAATGGAATATCAACACCTTCCACCTTGATGCCTGGCCCTATCAGGAAATGTGTCGCCATATGTCCTATGCTTTTCCAGGGATACTGGGGCAGGAGGATCCCAAAAGAAAAAGAAAAAAAAGGGGTGGAGTGTTAGGATATAGATACTCAGGTCTGTCTGCAAAGGCCTGTACTTTAAGAATTTAGGGGTATTCTTATCACTTGGCTAGTTATAGAGGTATAAAAGAAAGAATCAAAATCACTGTCTGCTGATGTAAGGGCCTTCTCTTACTGTGACAGTCTGAGGTCCTGTTCTTAGGCTAAGGCCTTTGGCGAAGCAGCAGAGGCAGCCATAAGCTAGGAAGCAAACAGTCACATGCTCACATTCCAAACTAGTCACATTGAAATAAGGTGCTATTGGGCTGTTAGGCACTATCAGGACAGGATTGTATTCCTATCACCTCCAGAGAAAGGGAAGTGCCTAGAAAATGTAAAAGGAAACTTAGTTTGATAGCATCCTGTCTGGCAAGAACTCACTTATCAATAGCTGGGATGTAAAATCCTCACTTCTGTATTGTCTTGTCATTATAGTTCCCACTTTGCTATTGTTTGTCTGTATAATCTCTGTCTGGTTCTGTGATTGTTCCTGTCTGCTGTATAATTAATTTTGCTGGGTGTAAACTAATTAAGGTGGTGGGATATAATTGGTTACATAATCATGTTACAATATGTTAGGATTGGTTAGTTAAATTTCAGAAAAATGATTGGCTAAGGTATAGCTAAGCAGAACTCAAGTTTTACTATAATCTGTAGTCAATGAGGAAGTGGGTGGGTGTGGGTGGGAGGGGGTGGGGTGTGGGTGGGTGGGGGAGAGGGGAGATGGGAATGGGGGTAAGAAAATTGGAATCATGTTTTGCTGAAGGGGGAAATGGGAACAGGGAATGGGAGTAAGGAAGTTGGAATCATGTTTGGCTAAGGGTAGGAATGGGAACAGGGACACAGGTGTAAGGTTCTGTGGTGTCAGAGCTGGGAAGGAGGATACTAAGGAAGGAAACTAGAATCATGCTTGCTGGAAGTTCACCCCAATAAACATCGAATTGTTTGCACCTTTGGATGTCAGGTATTGTTGCTCTCTGTTCATGCGAGAAGGACCAGGGAAGTGAGTGGGTGAAGGAATAAGCCCCCTAACATCCAACAACCCTCAAAACAGAAGAAAGAAAACCAGAAAGAAGGGGGGGGATATCCGAGGGGATAAAAAAGAACAAACTATGGGGTAGGAATTGCAGCAAGATGGACAGGAAATAAAATAAGGAGCTCAGCCTCAAGGAATAAAAATACAGTTGAGAGGCTGGGACTGAGAGAAAATAGTAAAGACAGATGGAGAAAATACTGCTTCCTTCTATTTGGCCATTTACTGTACTGCATCTTGATTTTTCATTTTGTAAGGAGAAAAAAAGGTGGAAAAAGAGAGGGAGCTGGGTGGCTTGCAGAGGAGGGAGGACCCTCTGCTGTGACACTTCCTGCCTCACATCTTGGCAGATGTCCCCTGTTTCTTTGTAAAAATCTGGTCTCCCCACCTGATGACAGAGGAGTTCCTCTCTGTCTGTAATCCCAGCAGTGCACATACTATATGCGCAAAGAAACCCTGAAAGCATAGCAAACCAGGTATTCTAATTGCTGCATTGAATACAAAGAAAAGTATACCAGCTTTAAAAGTTTCTTAAATATAATGAAAAAAACAATTTAACAACAAGAGAAGAAGCTGCCATCTGTGATGATGCAAACTAGGAATGAGTAGATAAACTTTCCTATTAGCATTAGAAATTAGTAAGTTTCAAAATTGCTGTTAAGTAAAAATCAATGCACTCTGCCCACTCATCCATGTTACTCAGGTCATTCTAACATACCACACTGCTCAGCAGCTTCAAACAGCCTCCAAAACCAAAACTAAAACTTTGCCACAAAGTGTGGCATTTCTTCCCCCAAAAAATCTTATAGAGGTCCATGATGGACAATATTCATTCGTATATCAGTGGCAAGTTTAAAGTCCAATACCTTATGACTAGGACTAGGGAAAGGGGGGGATTTTCTGCTTTCCAATGGGCCATGCTGTACTTGCTTCTACCTCTGGAAAAGTGAGTGATGTTGTGGTTCAAAGGTTCAATCACTCATGAATAATGCAGCCATCTGAAACTTACAAGTAAACGTTTTATACCACACCTTCATGTATTACTAATATTTATTATTTGCATTGTGGTAGCACCAAGGAGCCCTCATCATGGACCAGAAACTAGGCACTATGTAAATACAGAACAAAGAGACTGTCCCTGCCCCAAAGAGCTTACGATCTAAATATTCATTCTCTCTCTCTCTCTCTCACACACACATATATACTTACTATTATAATCAGATCTTCACATGTACATACAGTCTGCATGTGCCCCCATGGATCAGGCAGGGTCATGGCCTGACTCCATTAGAAGGCTTAAGAGACTGCCAAAAGTTGTTTGAGATACCTAATGACTAAATGCATCAAGAATGTGCTTTGAAGCACCTTCTCTTAGATACTTCATCTGCTTGCTTCAATATGTCGAGGCACATTTCCAGTCATTAGATAACTAAGAAGTGCCTTGAGACATCTCAAAACATCAGATCTTTTGAGAAGGTGCAGCGAGATACATCAATACATTTGTCCCTTACATGTGCTGAACCACTTCTGTCAGCCCTTTGGCTATTCCATGGAAGAGGAGAAAGAACTCCCTTAGCTCACATCCCATGGAACAAATAATTTCCATGAGATATGGGCCATGGACTATAAATGTGCCCAGTAAAGATTTCTAGTAAGCAGAAATCTTTGTTGAAATGGAAGTAATTTTCTGTGCATGTCCCACAGGATCAATATGGGAACAAGTTAGGTACGTGAAAAACTGTTACATGGTAAATCCTGAGAAACAAAGGACTAAGTATTCTCACACCCTTACCTGTTCCCATACAAATTCCTCTTGCAGTCACAAGCATGTGCAGAAGATAATTTCAGTATGCCCAACGTTCTATGCTGGCATAGGGCATAAACAATACATACTTTGCATTAAAAAGCAAATTAGTGGATTAAAAGTTACATACTGTGCAAACTGAAACCTTTATTACTTTCAAATACTAAACTATTTTCATTCCACCTTATCTTGGAAAGCATACTTCCATGAGGACTAAATGTTCAACCTTTTTATATTTGGCTGTTTTTGAGTTATTTATTGGCAAAAGTAGATTGGGAGAATTATTATATTTTAAAAAGCTACACACAGAGAAGGAACAAAGCAGGTGTGTATTATTTTATACACACAAAATACTCTAACTCCAACATCTGCATCAATTTCATGTGTACCTTTAAAAAAATTATTTTCAAGCTGAGCCCAAGGATGGACAATTTCAACTTCAAAAGACACATTTTTGAGAAAGTTACGAGTAAGAGAAGATAGAATTAGAATGGAAAGCCTTACCCAACCCTATCTTTAGTTTTCATTAACCACAAACATTATGCTATATATGGATATCATCTGCTATTTAACTGCAGCCATCTCGGGGGAGGGGGGTGGTAAAGTTGAATTCATTTAACAACACACAGCAGCATTACAGACAGTAATGGTTGAGCAGGAAAATGAAGAAAAAATTATTCAATTTAAGTTAAAGGAAAAAATGAGAGTAGATAATATAATGATCAGAATTAGAAGTTGGTCATGACACCATGGCTAAAGCCCTTGTTTTTAGGGGGTGGGGCAAAATGGCATTGGATTTGTAAAGACCCGAAGCAGTCAGGATGCTAGGTTTACAGCTCATTCAAATGATGGAACTGCCAACAACCCAGTGTCCCACTTTCCTACAGCATCTAGGTTTTCCTCAGTGGTCTCCTATCCATGTATCACCTAGGGCTGACCCTATTTAGCTTGAGATGTAACAAGATCATAGTGCGAGACAGTACGGCTGCAAGCATGGTTTCTCTAAAAGCAGATTTTCCACTATGTGAATTCACAGTTGTCTTTAAATACTTTGTAATTAAAAATACATTACTAATCATAATGAGAGGTATACATAAACTATAATATTAATATTAAAAATCATTTTTTTAAAATTTCTTTTCTAATCCTGTTTTAGTACAAAGTGTTAATAGTTACTGTGGGTTGTTAGATAAAAAGACAGGTAATTAATTACAGTCCACAAACCTGTTTGTATTCCTGTACTGGCAAAATAAAATTTTAAAGCAACCCAGCCTACTAGTTATGGAGGACATCAAAAGCAGTTTGTGTAAGGCAAGAGGTAACAGAGGCAGGTTATTATTTCTAATGTTTTCCTGGAATCTCTTTTCAAAATAGACAGAAATATGAATTCCTACCAGGCTTTCATGCATCAGGACATCTCAAGCATTAAGAGCTTGTTCTTATTTCCTTGCTGGTTCCTTCTTTCCTCTTCTAGTTAAATGAAACAGAACAGATTCTAGCCTGACAAAGAAGAATGCACCACCCAATGCATACATACAGGCTGCAGCTGATACACAAATACAGAAACATAAACCATGGCAGAAATAATGAAAAATGTTCATGTTATTACCCCAAGTCCCAGGAAGGCCTCGCTCTGTTGTATATGTAAAAATAACCCCACCCTTAGATACCAAAGCACAGCTCAAATGATTTCTCTGTACTCTTAACAAAGCACCACGATTACCAATCTAATCCCCTCCCCCTACTCCGTTACTGTGTCGGGGCTGGGCCTTTTTCCTTCTTTACCTCCCTACCGGCAGGTCAGACACCGCTCCTTCAGCTCCTACCAAACTCCGATCTGGATTTTCCTGCCCTTCCGAGTGAAATCAAATGAAAGGAATCCATTTCATGCATGTTACAGTCGAGGAAGATCCAAAGTGGATGAGTGGGTGGATGTTATTTTCATTTATTTATTTTAGGGGATCTGACCACCTGTATCCCACATGCCAACTTTTAGACTTGATCAAGAGGGAGAATTTGATGTAGGAAAAATAAAAATAAAGTTCCTGGTTCCCCTACAAAGTTCCAAAATATCAGGTGCAGTATCTTGCATTTTAGAAGATTCTCAAAGATAACCTGCAAAGAATGAAAAACCAGGCTTGTGACATTTTTAGTAGATGATGAAGACCTGAAAGATTTCCCTTTCCTGGCTTTTACCACTGCCCTCTCCTTCCCGCCCTCCCCGAAATTCTGGTCTGCTGAGCCTGGAAGACTTCGGAACTAGCGAAATCACAAGAAGAGTGAAAGCTAAGGGAGAAGTGTTTTTAGTCAAACTGTTTAGAATGAATTGTTTTTGTTAACTGTCTCAGTTTCTGCATTGACTGCTCTCCCCTCCAGCCCCCAACCATCTTTCTGGTCTTCCTTGAAGGCACCCTTTTAAGGTTTCTAGCTCCCAACCGTTACCTCCTCTTGGGAGGAGGACACCTGTGTCTCTCTCCCTACAGAGGGAGAATTTAGGCTTATAGTCCCTATGCACTTCACTGTGGTTTCTCCAGCATCCAGAACCAGTGGTTAACATTTCTCCAGGAGCTATTACAGTTACCAACCAGCCTTCACAAAGCAAACTGCTCTTGTTCTTAGAATAAAAGCATTACACAGAAGACATAGAGAAGACAATAAAAACCTATCCTAATGCTAATAGAATACTAGAGGTATCCCAGCTTCCAATAGCAGCAGGACATCTGGGCAGCTGGCCAAGATGCAAGCTGGATCCATTTCATGCATGTTACAGGGCAGCCACATACTAGAACAGTCTGTCAGAATTAGCAGGCAGCTAGCATTATCCCCTTGAGGTCACCTGGTTAGACCCTTGTTTGTGGATCAGCTGGACCTTGGATAATTAGCATGGGCCTATTTTAGGAATCACAGGTGATTACCTCAGTAAACATATCAGGGCTCCGAACATTCACACCCAGAGGTGACTCATCAGTCTCAGAAAACTCATCACAATTAGGGGTCAATCTTTCAAACCCCATGGCTGGCTGTGCTCTTTTGGCTACAAGTCTATGGGCTTGGCCACACTTGCGAGTTAGAGCACGTTAAAGAAGCCCCGGACGCACTAGCTCACTACCCGTCCACACTGGCAAGGCACGTCGGGTGCTCTGACGCCGCAGCTAGAGCACTCCTGGTACTCCACCTTGGCAAGTGGAATAACATTTGGTGCGCCCCTGCTGGAGCACCGCGGTGCCAGTGTGGACGCCCTGCTCTGTTAGTGCACTCTGATCGGCCTCCAGAAGTGTCCCACAATGCCTGTTCTAGCCACTCTGGTCATCACTTTGAACTCTACTGCCCTGCCCTCAGGTGACCAACCTTCAGACCCGCCCTTTAAATTCTCTGGGAATTTTGAAAAACCCCTTTCTGTTTGCTCAGCCAGGCGTGGAGTGCTCTCAGCGAATCTTTCCAGGTGACCATGCCTCCACACACCAGGCGATCCCCAGTATGGAGCAATGGCGAGGTGCTGGACCTCATCAGTGTTTGTGGGGAGGAAGCTGTCCCATCCCAGCTGTGCTCCAGCCATAGGAATTATGAAACCTTCGGGCAGATATCAAGGGACATGATGGAAAGGGGCCATGACCGGGACACACTGCACTGCAGGATTAAAGTGAAGGAGCTGCGGAATGCCTACTGCAAAGCCCGCAAGGCAAACAGCCGCTCCGGTGCTGCCCCTGTGATCTGCTGTTTCTACAAAGAGCTGGACACAATACTTGGGGGTGACCCCACCTCCACTCCGAGTGCCACCATGGACACTTCAGAGCCCAGTTCAACAAGGCAGGAGGAGGAGGAGGAACAAAGCGGGAGTGAGGGTGCTGAGGCGGAAGAAGACACCCCAGAATCCCTAGATGCATGCAGCCAGAAGCTGTTCTCGCCAGGAGGAAGGTAGCCAGTCGTGGCGGCCAGTGCTTGGGGAAGGACAAACACCAGAGGAGGTTCCCGATAAGCGGCTTTTATTTTGGGAAGGAAGTTATTCAGTGCGGGCTCTTGGGGCGAGGAAGGTTAGGGCTGCATGCATGCCTAGGTGCGGAATAGGGCACTGATGTGCTCTCTCACATCGTGGTAATCGGCCTCAGTGATGTCTTCAAAGGTCTCATCCAGAACTTGGGCAATGCGCTTGCGCAGGTTTCTCGGGAGAGCCACTGTGGTCCTTGTCCCAGTAAGGCTAACTTGTCCGCGCCACTGTGCCGTGAGGGGCGGGGGGACCATTGCTGCACACCGGGAAGCTGCATTTGGGCCAGGGCTGAAGCCGCATTGCAGTTGAAGACCCTCCCTTACTTCCCAGGTCACCCTCAGCAGTGAGATATTTTCCAGGATGAACTCCTGTGGAAAATGTGGGGTCAGTGTTCAGTATAGGGGCCCACTGCCGCTGTTGGCTCTCCCCAAGGCACAGAAACCCAGAGGACAGTACAGCCGTGAAACAATCAGTCACACTTGACCCTGTGCTTACTCACCATTTTGGGGCTCCCGTGGGTTATGTGCGCTCGTTTTGGGATGGGCAAATTATGCTATTGTGTAGACTGTGCTTGCCCTTAAGTATGGAGGAATCATTGCTCTGTCTGGTGTGAACAATGCTGCCTCTGTTAAGTGTTGCATTTTGCCTTTACAGATGAAATCTTGAGATCTCAGCTGTCGGTGTTATCACCGGCCAAAAGACTCCAAAGAATCACAAAGAGGCCACGTAGAAGCAAGGAAGACATGTTGCATGAAGTAATGCAGCATTCAAGTAATGAAAATCAAAAAGTGTAGGAGTGGCGGGACAGTGAAAGGAGGATCCGCCAGCAGAATGAGGATCGCCGGCAGAAAAGCGCGGTGGTCCGGCAGCAAAGCACAGATTGGCTGATAAGCATAATGGAGTGCCAAGTGGATGCTATCCAGGTGCTCGTAGCTATGCAGGCGGAGCACTACCGTGCCCACCCCCCGCAGCCCTTGTCCCAAAACTCTTTCCCTTGTGCCTCCATGTCACCTCCAACCCACTTTCCCCAACATCTGGGTTCTTACTGCCACCAGCTGCCTCCAACACCTGTAGCTTCACCACCCAGCCCTGAAAATTAACACCCTTAGTCATTGCATCAGCCCCCATCATCATGCAGTATAGCCATCCTGAAGTGCAGCACTCATGCACAGCACTCCAGACAGGAAGGCTGAGTATGATAACAGGACATACACTCTGTGATTGTACCATTCCCCACCCCACTCCCTTGCCCTTTCTGTTTCCCAAGCAGTTGTGTTTCTTTTCAATAAATTAATTTTCTTTTCAATAAATGGATATTTTTGGCTTTGAAAACATTCTTTATTATTGTATAAAGTAAAAGATACCTTAGCCCAGGAAAGAAACAGGCACTGCAAGTCAGCGTAGCAAACATAGATTCCTACTAACATTGGAACCACTGCACTTCACTCCCATGCAGGGCACCAGACATTACTGGTGGCTTTCAGCCTCAAATTGCTCCCTCAAGGCATCCCTAGTCCTTGCAGCCCCGCACTGGGCCCCTCTAATAGCCCTGCTCTCTGGCTGTTCAAATTCAGCCTCCAGGTGTTGAACCTCTGAGTTCCATGCCTGAGTGAATTGTTCACCCTTCCCTTCACAAATGTTATGGAGGGTACAGCACGTGGATATAACCGCGCGGATGCTGTCATCAGCCAGGTCCAGCTTCCAATACAGAGAGCACCAGTGGCCCTTTAAACAGCCAAAAGCACACTCCACTGTCATTCTGCACTGGCTCAGCCTGCTGTTGAACCACTTCTTGCTGCTGTCAAGGCTCCCTGTGTAGGGTTTCATGAGCCACGGCATTAAAGGGTAAGGGGGATCTCCAAGGATCACAATGGGGATTTCAACTTCCCCTACGGTGAGCTTCTGGTCTGGGAAAAAAGTCCCGGCTTGCAGCTTCCTGAACAGGCCAGTGTTCTGAAAGATGCATGCAACATGCACCTTTCCAGGCCAGCCTGTTTTAATGTCAGTGAAACGCTCACGGTGATCCACATGTGCCTGGAGAACCATAGAGAAATACCCCTTCTGATTAATGTACTCAGAGGCTAGGTGGGCTGGTGCCAGAATTGGAATCTGTGTGCCATCTATCGCCCCTCTGCAGTTAGGGAAACCCATTTGTGCAAAGCCATCCACAATGTCATGCACGTTACCCAGAGACATGGTTCTTCTGAGCAGGATGCGATTAATGGCCCTGCAAATTTATATCAACACAATTCCAGCGGTCGACTTTCCCACTCCAAACTGGTTAGCGACCGATCAGTAGCTGTCTGGAGTTTCCAGCATCCAGATTGCAATAGCCACCCGCTTCTCCTCCATCAGGGCAGCTCTCAATCTCGTGTCCTTGCACCGCAGGGTGGGGGCGAGCTCCTCACACAGTCCCATGAAAGTGGCTTTTCTCATCCGAAAGTTCTGCAGCCACTGCTCGTCATTCCAGACTTCCATGAAGATGTGATCCCACCACTCAGGCTTGTTTCCCGAGCCCAAAAGCAGCATTCCATGGTGGTGAGCATGTCTGTGAATGCCACAAGCAAACTCGTGTGATATGCGTTACTCGAGTCAATATCATCGTCGGAGCCCTCACTGTCACTTTGGATCATAAGGAATAACTCAACTGCCAAATGTGACGTGCTGGCAAGACTCGTCAGCATACTCCTCAGCAGTTCGGGCTCCATTCTCACAGATCGAAAGGGAAGACAGAGTGTGGAGTACAAAAAACATTGAAAGATGGCGCCAAGTGTGGACAGAAGCACAGGGATTGCTGGGATGCGAACCGATGCATCACGGGGTGTTGGGACAGGACCCAGAACGCCCCGCGCTCCCCATCCCCTTCCCACAAGCCACAGCGCCAGAATGGGAAGAGGTGCTCTGTGGGATAGCTGCCTATAATGCACCGCTCCCAATGCCTCTGCAAGTGCCGCAAATGTGGCCACGCCAGTGTGCTTGCAGCTGTCAGTGTGGACAGACTGCAGCGCTTTCCCTACTGCGCTCTCCGAAGGTGGGTTTAACTCAAAGCGCTCTACATCTACAAGTATGGCTGTGCCCTATGCAAGTTTTTCGACTGAACATGAACCCCAGTTGGACAATTCAACTGTTTCTTTATTCAGCTCAGGCCTTTGATCTCCAGTTTCCAGGAACAGATAATCACCAGTTAATGGCTCTCTCCTCAGGGCATAGCTTCAAAAGGCTGGTTTTTGCATAACCAGAGTTGTAACATTTTCATTAATCACTCCCTAGGGATTCCCCTACTTAACACTTATCATCCCAAAAGTCCATGCCTGTCTGGCACATCTCAATATAGTCTTTTGAACTCCTTACACTTCCCGGACTCACATCTACCACATTAACATCTATTTAACTTCTACACACAAGTTGCAATGGTTTAACTGAAGATGTGATTTTAAACTAATTTTGCTAAATTGGTGCAATTTTGTGTGTGAATACTCTTAAAGTGATTTAAATCTGATTTATAGCAGTTTCGCATGTCCACACTCAGATTTGCTTTGGTCTAAAATGGTATCAATTTGTGTCTAGACAAGCCCATAACATTTGGAGAAAGAAAACCTTTGTTGAAGATTCCCCACTTTCAATTAAGGTGTAAGAGCTAACCATCTACATCATCTGAGACTCACAAAGAGATTCTCCAGCAGACTCATGGAAGATCAGACTAAGGCTATGTCTACACTTCAGAGGTAAGTTGACTTAAGTTATGTTGATGATAAAAAAAAGTTGTAATTACATCACTTGTGCATGTTAACACAACACTCGTTGTGTCAGCGGAGCGTATCCGTTGTTGGCCCTCCAGCACCAACAAGGAAAGCAATGCACTGTGGATAGCTATCCCACTCTGCAAATCACTACCTTCTCCTGATAGGAGTTCTGGGAATGGATCGCAGTGCATCATGGGGCAAGGATCATTATCCCAATGATTCAGTTTTCTCTGGCCCATAACTCCAAGGGCTTCTGACTGCATTTCACGCCATTTTTCAACTACTCCTGAAAACTGTGTGCCCGCCATCTCTGCCTGACAGCATGGATCTTGCACTGCTTACCAGTCTTGTGATAAGCGTTATGAACACAACGCAGCTGATCCTGCAGTATTTCATGAGCTGTGAATCTGAACAGGAATCAGTGCTGCCTGCGCCCTGCTGCGTGCCAGGGAAAGAAACAATTCAAGATTGATGTTGACATTAACAAAACAGGTGCACATGGTGGACTGTCACTATTGGGCTCAGGAAACAAGCACTGAGTGATGGAATTGGCTTATGATGCTGGTACGGGATGACAAGCAGCGGCTACAGAACTTTCCTATGCACAAAACCACCTTCCTTGTGTAAGGAGACTGTTGACCCCTTACTAAAACTCAGTGGAGGTTTTTTTGGTTGGGTAGCTTCCAGTACCAAAAGCAAGGGGAAGGGTCGATGGGAAATCAGGACCCTGAGACTGACAGTCCCCGGGGCAATGTGGAGAGGCCAATGCTCCAGGTCAGCCTGATTGACAGAACAGGCAGGCTATGAGAGAGTCAGGAGGCCAGGGAGTTCTCATCCTCCGTGTGAGCTGGAGAGCTGCCTGGAACAGAGTGGGGCTGAGCTAAGGAGAGAGCAGGAGCCTGTGCTGAGCTATGGAGCAGAGCCACAGCAGCAGCCCAGAGAGCAGACCTGGGCTGGGAGGAGAACTGCAGCAACCAGAGCCAGAGGGGCCAGAAAAGCAGCCCAGAGAGCTGGAGGCAAAGCAGCAGCAGCGCTAAGGCAGGCTGGAGCTGGGGCAGAGTGGAGCTGGAACTGAGGCAGAGTGGTGGGGCTGGAGCAGTCTGGAGCAGGGTGTGGTGAGCAACTTGAGAGAGTGAGGGGGACCCTAGGCAGCGGGCCCAGCACAGGGAGATGCCCCCAGCCAAGAGGCCTTGCAGGCCAGACTTGGAAGGGGATTGCAACCCCGACAGCCCTGGGAAGAAGGGTTCTGCCACCTAGAGCCTGAGGCCACCACCAGAGCAAGTGTTCGACCTCAGCATCCCTACAGCACAGCCAGGGCCTGAGAAGTAGGCCTGGGACTTGTGAGGAGCAGACTGAACTGCCCTTACATTCCAGAGACACCGGTTGTGATGTCCCCGTGCCACAGAGCAGGGTTATGTGTTTTCCTTTAACCTTTCCCATTTTTTCCTGATTTTTTTTAATTGGTTTCTGTTTAATAAAGTGTATTTACTTTCAACTGTATGTAATGGTCAGTGAGTCAGGGAAGTGTCCAGTGTGGATAGAGCATCCCAAAGTGGGGACACCCTAGCACCTGTCCTAAGTGACCATGACAAGGTTGGGGGTCGAGCCCCTGAGGAATCCTGGGCCCAGCCTTGTTGGGGTTACTAGGACTCTGCCACCCAGAAGAGTGAAAGGGGAGTCCTCGAGGTCAGGCAGGCCTTTGGGTAAAGGAAGTGGGAGCAAGGACTCAGATTCTTTCGCTAGCCCATTTCACAGGGTAGTGTATAAGCCAGGAAAGTTCCTCACAATAGCAGGATCATTCCCTCACTTACACTTGAACTGTGTGCAGAGTTTGCCCTCAACCTGCGGCGCAAGGACACCAAAATAAGACAGCTCTAACAGTGCAAAAGTGAGTGGCAATCACTTTGTGGAAGCTGGCAACTCCCAGACAGCTACTGGTGAGGGATGCAGTGATGCAAGTGTGCCAGGCATTAATTACCTCCTGCTATAAAGGAATGTGATTCTGAGCAACGTGCGGGAAATAGTGGATAGCTTTGCTGCAATGAGATTTCCTAACTGTGGTGAGCCGATGAATGTCACGCATATCCCAATTTTGGCCACAGACCATCTTGTGACGGAGTACATCAACAGAAAAGGCTACTTCTCTGTGGTATCACAGGTGCTGGTGGATTACCAGGGTCGTTTCACTGACATCAGTGTGGTAGTCAGGGAAGGTGCATGACACATGCATCTTCAGGAACAGTGGCTTGTATAGAAAGCTGTATGCAGGGACTTTCTTTCCAGACCAGAAGTGGAAATGCCCATAGTGATCCTTGGGGACCCACCTACCCCTTACTCCCGTGGCTCATGACACCATACACCAAAAACCTTGACAGCAGCAAAGAGCACTTCAACAACAGGCTCAGCAGGTGCAGAATGACCACACAATGTGCATTTAGAAGATTAAAGGGTCGCTGGCACTGCCTTTTTGGCAGGTTAGACCTCAGTGAGGAAAATATTCCCTTGGTCATAGCAGCCTGCTGTGCTCTGCATAACATTTGTGAGTAAAGGAGGAAAAGTTTCCCAAGGGGTGGATCATTTAGGTGGATAGCCTGGTAGCTGATTTTGAGCAGCCAAACACCAAGGCTACTAGAGGGGCTGAACAGGATGCTATATAAAGCAGCATTTTGATAATGAGCCCCAGTAATTAGTCTTTCTGTAATGAACTGAGCCAGGTATTCTTTACTTGCCACCTTGGATGGCCCCTGTAATAATTCCTGCCTGAGCCTTAACTGTAGCCTGCAAATATGCCGATTGCAACTGTGTATGAATTTCTGTTCCATCTACATCTGTAGATCACAAATAATCACTGTCTTTGTAAGACAAAATTTTTATTAAACAGCAATACACAGATGAACATTTCTTACAAGGGACACAAGGATCTCACAGCTGCATGTCAGTCCAGTTGTCATTATGGAAAATGTCCCTAGGGATGGAGTGAAAGGAGTACTGCGAAGGGCTGGGAACGTGAGAGAAATGGGGGAGGAGGGGCAAGGAAGGCAGTTCTGTATGGGCTGCAGGAGGAGTTGAGCACACATGCATTCTACCTGCAGCACAATCAGGGACCACAGCATCTCTGTTTGGTCCTGCATGAGCTTTATTACTTGCTCCTGAGCCTGTCTCCTCTCCTGGCTATCCATTTCTAGTTTCTCGTTTATGGTCTCTCTCCACGCTCTGTGCTCGCTCTTGGCCTGATCTGAAGATTGCAGCAATTCACGAAACATGTCCTCCTTACTCCTCCTCATTTGCCTCCTTATCTGACAGAGGCACTTCACCAGGATGTAGGAGCTGGCCCCCAAGGGCACATCTACAGAAGCAAAAGAAACAGTATTGTGTGTGCATTCAGTTTTGAATCTTAAAAGTTATGCACCTCTTTCTCACTTTCCCTTGACAAGCATGCAGCATGGCCAGAGCACTAAACACAGTTAGTTTGGCCTGGTGGGACTGGGGGTGGGGATTGCAAAATGGGACAAAGGGTCTGGGTGGTTTGAGAAAGGAATCAATACAAGCACCTGGGGACATTATTCTGAATACTAGCACCGTTTTCCACAGATGGTGGTGATCAAACCTGAAATCACACTACTGAGGGTAACTGATGATCCAAGGATACATCTCCTGCAAGTGTGTGGCTTCAGATCGGGTCCATATGCTGCTTGCCCGGGTGCTGCTTTGGTTACTCCAGAAGTAATTGCCGATTGGCATGGCAAAGTTTCCTACAATGGGGAAGAAAGAAAACAGCTCTGAGAAGGAACCTTTGGCAAATGATTTCAGACTATTTGCAAGAAAGTTTCCTAGAAATTTCTATGGAGAATTCCTGGGAGATCTTGGTGTGCATTAACAAACTTTTCCGCTGGGCCCCCACTGCATAGCTGCACAGGGGAATGCGAAGCAGATGCAAAAAGTACCTAGTGTTGTTAATGTAGATCCCTTGTCCCACCTGCACCATGTAACAAAATCAAGGATACCACTACCTCATGTAGCCATGCAGTATCAAAGCATAATGAGTACTTAATGGAGCTCCCCTCTCCTGCTTCTGGAATGCCAGAGATGGACTGCTGGGACTGGCTAGACCACTCCAGAGTCAAAGTGAGATCCTGGCTTGCCATGCCGCCGGCTGAGCCTGTCACCTGTCCCACATCCTCTTCCAACTCGACCTCATTGTCCACCACTTTGTCCTTGAGATTGACTCTGCTGTCCATTGCCTTCAGTTCCCCTGAAGTATCCATGGGGCTTTTGGTAGTGGAGGTGGGGTCATCACTGAGGATGGCATGCAGCTCCTTGTAGAAGTGGCATGTTTTTGGCATCGTACCAGAGTGATGGTTGCCTTCTCTTGCCTTCTGGTACGCCTCCTCAGCTCTGTGATCTTAGCATGGCTCTGCTGCGTGTCCCTTTCATGTCCCTTCTCATCCATGCCATGAGCAATCTGCTTGTAGGTTCAAAGTTCCTATAGTTGGATAGGCACTGCAACTGCACATCCTCCTCTCCCCACACCCAATAGACCCAGCAACTCCGGTATACTCTATGCGGAAGCCTATTTGCTGCAGAAAGCCAGCATGGTCAACTGAGAAGATGTGATGTGAGCTGTCCACACTGAGCAAGCAGGAAGTGGAATTTCAAAAATTCCCAGGACTTTAAGAGGGTAGGAGGACCTATCTGTGTACCTGGATGCAGAGCAGAGTAGAAACTGCTTAACAGAGTGGTCATGATGGGCATTGTGGGACACCTCTTGGAGGCGACATAAACAAACACAGTGTCTACACTGGCACTGTGTCACTCTAACTTTGTTGTAGAAAGCTCTATGCCGCTCGCCAAAGTGGTTTTATTTTGTTGGTGTAGCACGGGGTAGGCAACCTATGGCACGTGTGCCAAAGGCGGAACATGAGCAGATTTTCAGTGGCATTCGCCCTGCCCGGGTCCTTGCCACCGGTCTGGGGGGGCTCTGTATTTAATTTTAAATGAAGCTTCTTAAACATTTTAAAAACCTTATTTACTTTACATACACCAATAGTTTAGTTATATATTATAGACGTATAGAAAGAGACCTCCTAAAAATGTTAAAAATGTATTACTGGCATGTGAAACCTTAAATTAGAGTGAATAAATGAAGACTTGGCACATGACTTCTGAAAGGTTACCAACCCCTGGTGTAGCAAAAGAGTTATATCAATCGGAGGAGCATTGTAGTGTGTACACCTTCACTGTTTTGTCGACAAAACCTGACTTTTGTCGACAAAACTGTATAATGTAGACAAGGCCTTAATCTTAAAGATATGATATTGCTAAGGTAAAAAAGAAGCGGGAAATCAACAACTACAGCAACGATAATTACAATAATGACAAAACCCCAAACATTTTATACATCATAACGAAGAAAAACTGGCATCGTAAAATCATTTAAAAATAAAGATTTTGTGCCAAAAATATCTTATTTATTTAGAATTCAGAACCAAAGGCAAACTGTAATCTAATAAAAGCCCAATGAATGCCAACAAAACTAACAAACAGTTTCCAAACCATATTCATATATTTTTGATCAGCTGCAGACATAGCAAACATAAAACCATATAAAAACCCAGCACCAGTACTGAAACAATATTTTAGCTGGAGTGCACTGTAACCGCTATCAGTGGTTTCCCAAGGAATTGAAATTAGGGGGGTGTTTGAATTTACGGTGGGGGGTGTCAGGGCTGATGAGGGGTGAGACTGTGAGGGTGAAGGTGGGCTGTATGGCACCATAGTAAAAACTGAAAAATGTTTTCTGACCATTTTATTAGATTTAACTCATGTTTTAAAATCATCACACAAATTAAAGTTGGCTACTCAAGCCTTCTATGAAGTACTACATCTACATCCTTCTTGGTTTCTTGTTATAATTTTGCACAACTCAGTTAATTAACTTCTTGAATGCAATGCGGTCATCTCTGGTGGCTTCTCGTGTGTCTGGTACTTCCATTCCTTCAATTGATATGCTCATTAGTTCATTCATATGATCAGGCAGAAGGCGACTTTTTTCAGAACACAAAATTCTATTCAATGATGAAAAAGAACGCTCAACTGTAGCTGTTGTGACTGGGAGTAGCAAGAGATGAATTCCTACTTCTTTCATCCCAGGAAACATAGCACAAAGATTGGGTTGAGCCACTAGCGATGATAAAAAATAAGTTGAAGTCAAATCTTCATTCATTCGTCGTATGATATTCCACTCTGTGTTCAAATTCTCTATTCTGTCCTGATCCCACGGCAGCCCCATTGCTGGTAGTGCCTCACTCCACTCAACTGTCTGTGTTTTATAGGACAGGCATCTGTAAAAGCTACATAGAGGTTGAGTAGAATCTAGAAGTCGCTGTTGTAGATTTTTAAGAATCAAGTCTATGTACTTTTTCAGTTGTCTTAAACACTTCTTGTCCTCTTCACTTAAGGATTCAATATAAATGCCTTCATTAGTCAACTTCCGGACTGAAGTCTTTGCTTCTTCCAGTACTTTTTCAATGGACAGCTCTCTGATTGATCCAAATGTAGCTTCTATTGCTGGACAAAGATCTACTACTGTTGTAGCAGATGCCTGGGTGGCATTGTTTAATGGCCCGAGAGAGAATGGCAATAGTCTTCTCTAAACATAGTAGCAAAAGTAATCCACCAGCCTCACTACTTAGATCCATCCCATCTTGGCAGATACTTTCCAAAGCCAGTAATAATGGCTGGAGTAATTTTAAGACAACAGCCAAGGCTCGCTCATGAGAAAGCCAGAGAGTTTTCCCAGGTTGGACTAATATGAACTTCAGTCCCAGTGTATCTTCTATATTTTCCAAGCTATTCAGTCTTTTTGGACTCTTGCTGAAAAAAGAATATAATGAAGACATTAAATTTATAGCATTTGAAATGTCTTTTGAAGATTCTGCAGCTCCTACTAATGCTAGTTGGAGCAGATGGCCTCTGCAGTGTGTACAGGAGAGACTAAGGTTACACTTTTCTCGGAGCAAAGCTTGTGCTCCACCATGTCTTCCAGAGAAGTTTGCAGCTCCATCAAATGCACAAGCAGCCATCTGTTTGGGGTCCAATTGACCAGCATTTAACTCTTCTAAGATGTGGAGGCAGAGGCAGCTGAGGTGTCTTCTATAACTTGAACATCTAGAAATGCATTTACTGGCCTACCACTGACATCAAGATAACGTACACAATAACTTAATACTGATGCCCATTTGCATGGGTGCATTCATCAGCCATGTATGCAATTTTTTAAATCCTATTTTAAACGTGCTCCATGTGGGGTGCTTTTCATCTGCCGCCTGGTTTGTGGGCATTTGGGGTTCGCATTTTCAAAGTTTTCTCTACAGCCACTGGGTCTAGAAGAGCCCGGCCTGCGAACAGGAAAGCTGAGGTGCTCCTCACCGGGAGCAGGACCTTTAACAGAAACACCAGAGACACGCCGGATGAGCGGTGCTGAATCCCGCCCGCGGCCCCAGGAAATGCCCCTGACTCTCGGTAACCCTCAACGGCCCCACGGCTCCCCGCGTCCCCTGCTGCCCGGGGCCGCCCACAGGCGGGGCGGTGTGGCGGGCGCCCAGCCCCCGGCGGAGGGCGAGGAGCAGAATCCGATTCCCGCCGCAGGTGGATTCCGGTCCGGAGTTTCCACCCCCCATCCCCAGACCCGACCCCCTCACGCAGCGCGCAGGGGCCGAGGCGCATGCGCCCTGCAGTTCTCTCGCGGCGGCGGGCCGAAGAGCCGCAGCCGGGGCGCGGGGTGAGTGCCGGGGACGCGGCGGCAGATACGGCGCTTGGGGCCGGCGGAGGAAGCGCCTAGGCGGGCTGCGGGCTGCTCTCCCCGCCCCCCGCTTGCGCTTCCAACGGGGGGAGCCGCCCCGGCCGGTCCCGTCTCCGCGGGGGCGGGGCGGGCTCGCCTGCTGCCGCGCGCGGAGCTCGGAGTCGCGGGCCCGGCGGTTGGGACCGCGCCCGACCGGGCCGAGAACAGCCCGGGGCTGGCTCCGCGGGTGGCTGGCCCGGCTTGGCCCGGACGCCAGAGCGGGGGTCGGCCCCGGCGGCTCCGCGGCAGCGGTTAGGGAGCGGAGGAGGCTGCTGCTGCGGGGCCTGCAGCTAGGCGGGAAGCGGCGATGAGCCCCGGGGACCCTTCCGGGGCGGCCGGGGGGGGGGCTGTCTCGCGCTCCCCTCTCACTTGGCCTGTAGTCAGCGGTGCCTGCAGCGCGGGGGGGGGGGCGCTGACAGTTTAAATGTTGATGCTGCGGGTGGAAATGTGTCAGAGGAGAGAGCTGATCCTAGGAAGTTCTGCACAATTCGCAGTGAGTGAGAGCTCCTGTTGGTGCCACTTCGATGGCTTTTAAGAAAATACCACCACTTTCTTTGTTCAGAGCGGGGTGGGGATGGCAATCCATATTGCTCATAGTGTGGCCTTGCAGCAGCAGGAAAATGGGGGACCACTCCCCATCTCCTGTGTTTGCATTGTCTGCTAGTGTGATGGGTCCTCGGAGTACAACCTTGAGTTGGGATTGCTATGCCCCCTTAACTCTCCATCCTGGGCTGTCTCTCATGATGCTTGACTAATGACAGTAGCAAACCTCTCCAGGTGCTGTTAACACTTAGGCACCAGGATGCGAGATACACCCAGATAAGTTAAATGAATGCTGTGCAAGCCACTCATGAGCTGTACAGAGGGAAACACCAGCAAATCTCCCCCTCCCCGATTGTGCACCCCAGAAATGTACTGTCTAACATTGCTCAGGACCTTCTCAGTAATTAATTCACGACTTCATCAAAGGATAATGGACATGCACCAGCTAATGTAATGCCAGCAAATTCCGCAACCACTTTAGACAAACTCACTGGTAAGGATAAAACATTAAAATAAGTTTATCAACTGCAGAAAGATAAATTATAAGTGGTAGGCATATAGAACAAAGATGGTTACAAAAGAAATAAAAGCAAAATTGCAGTCTAAATTCTAAACTTTATCAGACGAAGCAAGAGTTGAATCAAACAGCTTTTCTCACCCCCGCTGGATGTTGTAGTCAGATTCTTAATACACAGGCTGAATTTCCTTTGAAGCCTGGGACCAGTCTCCTTAGTTTGAAGACTTTCTTTCCAGCGTTCTTGTTGCTGGTCGGTACCTCATGATGGTTGCTTAATGCCTGTTTGGGTATGGCTCACCTCCTTTGTTGTCATTGACAGGCTAGCAGTGGGTATCTCCCAAACTCACAACATATTTGAATAACAAAATATAGCAAAATCTGATAACTTCATACACAATAATGATATACATAGGGTGGATTTGATTTAAATCAAATTGATCTAAATCGTGATTTAAATCACTAATCAGGAAGACTTGATTTAATCATGGATTTCTACATAAAAGTGCATTCTTGGTGGTGGTTATAACCTTAATACATAGTCTTCACAACTCAGAGATAGATATAGACTTCATTTTTAGAAGGTATACACTATATATTTTTAAAGTGATTTATTTTGAAAACTTTTCAGATTAGTTTTACAGCTATATCAGAAAATGAATGATTGTTTGGTTATTTCATTTAACAAAGGTAATTGAAACAGATATTTTTGAAGTTATTGGGAGGTGAACTATCTCCAGTTCAATAGGTTAATCATTAATATTTGGAAGATTTTCTTGCCACGCTGTTTTAGGAGGAGAACATCACCAGACAGACGTTTAAATTGTTTTATTTAACTAAAACAGCAGCGTTATGTATTCTGGATTTTTTTCTTCAACAGCAAACACATAATATTTTAACAAAACAAGCATATGAATTTTTGAATTTAGTTAAACATTCAAGTTTCTTAAAATCATGTTTGTTTTTGTTAAAATTGTTTTTGAATTTGAGTTAAATAAAAATTGAGTTAAATGAATTTTCTTTAAAGTAAAACAAAAATTAAATCGACTATGTCAGCCAGGTCAACATGAGAAACTTAAAATATTGGCTTCTGCAGCTAACTCAGTTGTCTTCACCTTCATTTTCCTGTTTGTTCATAATCTGGAAAAGAAAAAGAAGCTTTCCTGCTTTTTCAGGTCCCAAACCACTTCTCAATTTAGAATGAATTAGTCCAGAGGAAGAAAATATTCTTTCTATATCTGCAGAAGAAGCTACTGCTGTTAAAAGTGAGATTATCACTTCAACGGTCTCTGAATCCAAGTGCTTAAGTGACTTTCATCAGTTCACTGGTGTGACTTCCTTTAAAACATCAGCAAACCTATGTTTCTTGAATGGTTCACCCTTAGCTCTGAAGTTTATTATAGTTGGCATTATGGAGGGATGATTGCTGGATGTCCATGTCATAGCCAACTCCTCTTCTTCAGTAGTTAAGATTTGACCCTGGTACTAAGTATTGAGAATATTTGCAAGAAAACAAGCTGGAGATAGTGCTTGTCCCATTCGTTTTTTTAATGCTTGTAATTTAACTTTCATTGCATATTTCTCTTTTTAAGATCTCACTCAGTTCCTTCCAAATTTCAACAGCATTAGCAATAAAACAGCTATTTCCCTACATTTTGTTCCAGGCTACAGAAATGGGCTTCAGGGTACTCAGCATGTGTTCAACATTTCTCTTAAACCCAATATTGAGAACTTTGGCTGTGACAGTGCCATCTATTTTTTCACGATTTTGTTCAGAAACTGTCATCAGATTAGGCCAGTTTTTGATATAGTGCTCAAAACCGTCCACTACTGAGTTCCATCACACGTCTTGTGGGAGAGTTAGCTTGGTTCCTCCCACTTTTTTCAGAGCAGCTGCTACAAAGTGGAAAGTATTTTGCAATTTCAACAGTGTTATTTCTGGAAGGCAGTGCATCAAATGGGACTCTCTTCACTCCTAAATAATTTCTTCTCCTTTTGGATACATTTGCAGTGTTGTCTGTGACCAAGCTGCGTACCAGACGTTTGAGGTTTTTTTTTTCACAGTTTGTTATAGCTTTTACTGTTACTTCTTGTAAGTATTCTGCTGTGTGTGCATTTCCTGATGTATCAATTGTTTCTGTAAGGAAGACATTCCCTTCTTCTGTTGTCACACAAGCACATACAACAGGATCATTGTGGACATTGCTCCACTCATCAAGACTCAGGTTAACAATTTTACCCTCTAGATCTTTTGCACACTGCTCAATTTCTCTTTCATAAACTTTATCCAGCAATTTGCCTACGGCATCTGCTCTGTTGTGTGGACTGTATCCTGGCCTGAACCATGTTAATGAAGCGTGGGTTCTCAGTCATATGGAAAGGAGAGTTTGTTGCATAAACAAACCAGGCAATTTTTTTTATCAATTATCTCTTTTTGTAATCTGCTGGTTCTTATCAGAAATTTATCTAGGGTTGTTTCTGGATTATGGAGGTTTTTTTTTCTTTTTGCTACAGGTGCTACTGTGGCGATGTGACATACATGATGTGTTTGAAACACTGTCATTGGCAGATAACTCTGAAACTATAGAAAATGATGGTGATCTTGAAGGTGGATAGTCTTCAGAATCCTTATGTTGAGGATGGATTCTCCTAAACAAAATAAGTCAATGCAGTTATTTAATTATTATTACCATACTGCTCATTTAGTATTATTCATTGCATTCACTGACACTCAGTACTACTTTAAAGGTGAAGTTGTAAAAGGAAGGCCTAGCTATTTATTTTTGATCACAACTTCATCTAAAATGATAATACCATAGAGTAAAAACTATATGTTTTGCTCAAACATGAGAATTCAAGAACAGTTCAGAAGGAAGACAGGCAGTCCTTAAGAAAGAAGTATGAAATAAAAAAGTTTACCAACCTGAAGATCCTGCATGTTCAAACATGTTCCTTTCATCATATTCAATGCAGCTTCCTCTTGAGAAGGAACACTTCTCATGATGTTGTTTCATTCGGGCAATCAGGCCTTGCATTTCTTTGTTGCACTGTTTGCATTTTGCATGCATGTTTGTTTTACTCACAGGTAGAGGAATTTTACTGAAATATTCCCAAACTAGGGTTTTCCCTTCTAGTGAGAGAATGGTATGGTAGATCTTAAATCAATGAAAGCTACACTCAGAAAGACCTCAAGACTTCTGGAATATGCTGCTCAAACAGTTTCACTTGTGTTTCTACTGCCTGTCCCTCTCTTCTCACATTTATCTCCAGACTTCTTCTCCTTGTCCAGATTTATTCCGCCCCTAACAATCTTCTATTCACTGAACTTTTTGAAACTTTGCACTTTTAGAGAGAGGTAAGGGATTGACTCTGTGTACACAAATTTCTAGAGAGACAATAGGGTTGAGGTCTGTTATTTCTCACCTTTATATGTTATTTATTTATTTTAAAACATTTTTGCTGTTAACAAGCAGGTTATCTCTGGAGACACAAATCCACAGTTTAAGAACTGCAAAATTAAGCATCTCTGATGAAATCTTCTAGACTGAGCACTGAGTCCCATTGGGTAGATAGAAAGATTAACCTAAATAATCTATACAGAAGCCCCTGGAACCCCATACGATTGGGTCCCTAATCCATGAACTATTGGAACTCATTTACAAAACTTTTCTTAAACATTACATGAATATATTGTCTGATACTATAGAATTAGAATTTATAATTCCTATTCCATAATGAGATATCTTTGAGCTATATTGTATCTTAATTAAAACTGTTTTTAGATAGGTTTTTTCCTCAAAAACCTATTTTATCAAAAAAATCCAATTTAAATAAATTTTTAAAAAAAAAAAAAGTATTGATTTTTTTCCACCCTGATACATAGTTTGACAGAACAATGACAAGGCATGGTTTATATGAAATATAACCATATACAAATGATGAATATGGGGTTAAAGTGTGCTACTTTGAGGTACAGTACATTACACCTAGCTTCTTGGAGAAGGTAGCTGAGGTGGCTCAGGCCCTTCTTGTCTTCCCAGGTGTCCGTAGTGGTAGGGACAGCAGTGGTTGGGATAGTAACTGACAATAATATGACCTGGTGTGCTCTGGTAGTGGATCTGGGTATGTGTGCAGCATTTTGGAGCAAGCCTCCCAGTCTAGGATGATATACTTGGGCTAGTGGGATTCATAGTTGTGCTCTAAAAATAGCTGTATAGACAACACTGTGAAGTTGTGGCTCAGGCTGGAACTCTGGCTCTGAAGACCATCCCCTGCCCTAGGCTTCAGAGCCAGGCTTCAGAGCCATAACCACAATTTCACAGTGAAGTCTTTTCAGCTATTTTTGGAATAATAGTGTTAGCCCCGCTAGCCCAAGTCTGTTGACCCAAGCTGGGAGACTTACTCCAAAATGCTCTGTAGACATACAGAGGCCAGGTAGCTTCCTTACTGGTTGTAAAGGCTGTTGCTCTGCTTTCTGCTGGAGTCTGTTTGCACAATCTGGCAACTAATCTGAGTTGGTTAAATATGGTTCAGATTTTCAGGCTTTTCTTCACAACTGTATGAACTAGAAACATTTTTTTAAAATGTAATCTTAGATTCTGATATCATGTGTCTCTGGAAGCTGGGAACCTAAACACATGGCTGTAATATCTGTGCCTCAATCTGGCTCTGTCCATACATGTATCTGAAAAGGTAAAACCTGAGAAGTGTGGCAGAGCATATGATTATAGTTTAGATGTGTGTATATTATGCCTGGTGGGTAGGGCTTGGGAGAGTGCCTCTCCCACCCCTCTCCCCCCAATTTGAGGCCTGCTCTTAATGAAACACTGATGTTCTCAAAACACAATAATTAGCCTGGAAATTCAAAGCTAAACTTCCAGGTTGCTGAAAAGAAAACACCCGAAACCCAAACATTTAAAATATGCATATACCCAGCTACTATAACAGAGGTGGGCAAACTATGGCCCGCGGGACCCTCCTGCCCGGCCCCTGAGCTCCTAGCCTGGGAGGCTAGCCCACGGCCCCTCCCCTGCTGTTCCCCCTCTCCCTCAGCCTCAGGTCACTGCGCCGCCGGTACAATTCTCTGGGCAGCAGGGCTGCGAGCTCCTGGGGCAGCAGGGCTGCAGAGCCAAGCCTGACCAGTGCTCTGTGCTGCCCGGTGGTGTGGCTGTAGCACCGCCAGCCACTGGCGCTCCAGGCAGCGCGGTAAGGGAAGCAGGGAGTGGGGGTGTTGGATAGAGGGCAGGGGAGTTTCAGGGTGTGGTCAGGGGGTGTGGATAAGGGTCCAGGCAGTCAGAGGGCGGGAAACGGGTTGAATAGGGGCAGGGGTCCTGGGGGGCCAGTCAGGAAGGAGGGGGGGATTGGATGGGGCGACGGGGGCAGTCAGGGGACAGGGAGAAGGGGTGATTGGATGGGGCAGGGGTCCCGGGGGGGCAGTCAGGAATGAGAGGAGGGGTTGGTTGGGGTGGGGATTCTGGGGGCGGTCAGGGGACAGGGAGCAGGGGGGGTGGATGGGGCAGGGGTCCTGGGGGGGCCGTTAGGGAACGGGGGGGTTGGTTGGGGCATGTCTTGCAGCCTCCCCTAAGTGGCCCTCCATACGATTTCCGAAACCCAGTGCAGCCCTCAGGCCAAAAAGTGTCCCCCCCGCCCCTCCCGGTACTATAACATGTTGACAGATTAAACCAGAATTCTCGTGTCTTGCATCCAACTAAAATAATACTTCATAAATATTTTTGTAGCTTTCCTAGTCCTTTTCATCTCTTTTAAATCTCAAACATGGACACCGAACCTGAGGTAAAGAAAGAGAAGAAGCAGCATCAGCATCCTTTCTACTGCAATGTGAGTACTTCATATTATTAAGGGCCTTTGACAAAGTATAATTTTATCCATTGTTGAAGGGTTTGAGAGTAGGAACAAAATCAAAGAGTTTGGGGAAACCATTGAAAACTAGCTAGCTTTAAAATGGCTTAGCATCTGTCTGGTGATTTGCCCAACTATTGCCCAGGTTCTGGAACTCCTCCTCCTCCCTTTTATTTTATTTATCTTAATCACCCCTATCAAATTTCTAGCTGGTGCCAATACAAGGTCTTCCTGTGCAGATACTTGACTCTTTTTCTCTCTATTAAAATGATAATCCAACTCTACTAGACCAGCTATTTCTGGCTATAGATGCTGTGCATTATCTTTTTTCAGGTACAATATTTTTTTGATTCTCAAGATCAGAAGAGAGAAAAATGTTTTAAATAATGAAATAGCCTCCACAGATATTCCATTCTTTAAATTGCCACATGGGTCTGGAATCTTTGCAATCAGTTAACACCTAACTGTAGAGTCTTCCTTTGATTTGTGTGCACTGCTGCATAGAAGCTGTCCATACCCAAATATCATTAGCTAATAGTTAAGGCTGAGAGTGCTAGTCATGCATTTCATGTGTGTCTGTGGGTAAGAGGAAAATTATGGAAATAGTCAGTGCTGTTACTCTTAACTGTCTTCATTGATGCACACCCATAAACTGGAAGTTAAGAGCCTTTTGAGTGTTGTATAGATCTAGCTTGGTCTTGCGATGATGCCCTGGATAAAAAAACAACCAAGGATATGTCTACACTGCAGTTGCAGATGGGATTGCTGCTCATGTATGCCTACCCAAGCTGCAAGCTTTCGTCTGCTTACCACAGATCAAAATAGACATGAAGCTGCTGTAGTGCTGAGCTTCAGTGTGGGTGTATAAGGGCACCTGGAGTCCTGGGTTTGTAATCATGTTTCTAGCCCATGCTGAAGCCATTGCTATTTTTAGGCATGCTAGGTAGATTAAAGCTAGAGCAAGTATGTCTACCTGAGCTGCAACTGCACTTCCAATTACAGTACAGTAGAATCTTGGGAATGGAGGTTGTTTGTAACTCCGAAATGTTCATAACTCTGAACTAAACGTTATGGTTGGTCTTTCAGAAGTTTACAACTGAACATTGACTTAATTCAGCTTTGAAACTTTACTATGCAGAAGAAAAATGCTGCTTTTAATCATCTTAATTTAAATGAAACAAAAACAGAAACAGTTTCCTTATCTCGTCAAATCTTTTTAAAAACTTTCCCTTTATTTGTTAGTAGTTTACATTTAACACAGCACTGTACAGTTTTTGTTTTTGGGTCTCTGCTGCTTGATTGCGTACTTCCAGTTCCAAATGAGATGTGTGGTTGACTGGTCAATTCGTAACTCTGCTGAACTTTGAGGTTCTACTGTATAGACGTATCCTAAGAGACAACCTTATCCATCCATAACACACACTTTCATCTCACCAGGGACCAAAACTATAATTCTTTGTGCATATTCATATAGTAGTTGATCCAATTCTGTCCTTTACAGCAGTAAGAAGTCCACATAAAGACATACTTACTGTGATGGGACCCCCGGGGTACAACCTGGAACAGTGGGACCACTGTGCCCCCTTAACTCTCCAGCCCGGGCTGTCTCTCATGATGCTTTGCTAGTGACAAGCAGCAAACCTCTCCAGATGCTATGATCATTCAGTTAACAACATGCAAGGGACACACCCAGCTAAGTTGCATGAATACTCTAAGACACACATGAACCATATATGGAGAATCACTAGCAAATCTCCCCAGCCTTGCACCCCAGAAATGGACCGTCTTACGCTAACCAAGACCTTCTCTTGAACAATGTAAGCTCATTAATTAGTTCACTGCTTCGTCAAAGGATAGTGGACATGCACCAGCCTTTGTAATCTGAGCAGATTCCCCAAGCATTTTAGACAAACTCACTGGTAAGGATAAAATATTAAAGTAAGTTTCTTAAGTACAGAAAGATAAATTTTAAGTGATTATAAGTAGTAGTTACCTAAGAAAATAACAAGTAAACATGCATTCTAAATCCTAAACTTTCAGACTAAGCAAGATTTGAATCAAATAGCTTTTCTCGCCCCATTGCATATTGAATGCAGGTTCCAGTTCTTAATATGCAGCTGAATTTCCTTCTCTGCCTGGGACCAGTCTCCTCAGTTCAAAGTTTTTATCTTCCCAGCGTTCTCGTTGTCTTCAGCATAGGCGGGGAAAGAGAGAGGTGGTCTCATGAAGTCCCACCTTGGGGGTGGGATAGCTCAGTGGTTTGAGCATTGGCCTGCTAAACCCAGGGTTGTCAGTTCAATCCTTGAGGGGGCCGTTTAGTTGATCTGGGGCAAAAAATGGGGATTGGTCCTGCTTTGAGCAGGGGGTTGGACTAGATGATCTCCTGAGGTCCCTTCCAACCCTGATATTCTGTGATTCTATGATGCCTTCTTTTATACTCTCAATTCATGTCCCAAGGAAGATACTGGCCCAGACATGTCCTGGTGGGCCTTGCTGAGTTATAGTCATAGTCAATCCCCATTGTGTGGTGCTTGCTCAAATGTCTCATATAGAATTGTAAATTTCTTGTTTACAATTCCCCTGCTGTTCAATGGCTTGTGATGGTCACTTAACACCCATTTGTGTATGGGTCACCTCCTTTGGTGCCTCTGGAGAGCTAGCTCTGGGCGTCTTCCAGACACATAGCATACTTCAGTGTCAACCATATAGCAGAATATTATAATTCCATATACAATGATTATATGCATATTTTGACAGAACAATGAATTTCAGCATGTGACCTTTCATATGATACCTTGCAAGGCATGCTTTATATGAAATATCACAATGATATTCAAATGATGAATATGGGAGTTACAGGGTGCTACTTTGAGATACAGTGCATCGCACACATTCTTAATTGGACAGTCAGGATAGAGAAGACCATCCATGTGTCTGTCCATTTTAGGATTTGGAAGGTGCCTCTCACAGTGTTTTCCAATTGCTGATGTATTTAACATGCTGCCAACATACAAATATCAGGAAATGCAGAGCTAGTGTATATCTACGTGCATAAACTTCCTAATCCTAGATCATTCTCCAAATTTAAGAATTCTGGTTACATATACTGCAGACTGTTTAAAGTCCTTAAAACAGTTTTAAATGCTTAGTGCCCTCCCCTTCCCCCCAGAAAATATAGTTTGAAATGGATATAAACCCTCATGCATCAGGGCATATGTCCGCCTCTAACTGATGGAAGTTAGAAAGGAATTTTCCTTATGAATGGGTTACTCCATAATACCAGTTGTAGTGTTTCTTGAAAGGTCTGTTGGGTAGGACAGTAGAGTGGGAGTCAGGAGACCTGAGTATTATTCTCAGTTCTGTCACTGAACTGTTTTCCAGTCCCATCTTTTGTCTGTCCTGTCTGTTTTAGATTGTAAGCTCTTTGTAACATAGCCTGCGACCTTCTTAAAGCCCATATTCATAAAAAGAGCAGAGAGGAGTGATGGTGATGAGGTTATAGAATTTGGGGGGGGGGGGGGGGGCTAGGAGGAGCCTGGGGCTATTGTGGCACAATAGAGGGGATTTGGGATGGGGTATATATGGGGAATATAGGAGAGAGATGATCCGGGGGGGTGACATGAAGGGATGGGGATAGATGGAAGTCATAAGGTACATGAGGAAAGGAGGCAGCAAGAATCTGTTGTATTCATGTGGAGTGGGAGTGAGAAAGGGGACATGGAAGCTGGGCACACAAGACTGACCCAGGACTTGAGGAAGGGGATGAGGCAGCATGTGTGGTGGCTGGTGGATTTGTGGATGAGGGTAGAAGGGAGGTGCAGCAGAAATGAATTGCAAAGTAGCTGAAGTGCTTTGGATGACAGAAAGTAATAAAGGAATTGTGGCAGAATGTGAGAAATAGTGGTTGTGTGGCAGAGGCTGTGGTGGACGCCAGGTGAGTGGGAGGGAAAAGAGACTGGCTTTGGCAAAGGGGTTAGGCAAGTAGAGGGGCAGTGAAGGTGAGGGGAAGTAGGAACAGAGAGAGAGGGAAGCTTAATAAACAGAAGTCAGTATCAGGGTTGAGAGGCATCAGGATGTTGTGAGTATGAAGCACATTTAGCAAGGGCAGCAGAAGTATTCAGGGCATTAGGCAGATGGTGGGGATGTTAGGCAGAGCATCAGAGAGAAACTCTTTTGTCTGTGCATTGTGAGGACACTCCAGTAGAGGGAAGTATTAACTCTGGGGGTAGATGATCATTGGTCCTACCTATAAAAGTCAGCATGATAGCCCAACTTCCTACTCTGGCTGCAAGTATGGGCTTTGCTGGGTGGGGAAAAGGCTCTTCTTTTGAAGGGCCACGCTCCCAGAAGGATTTCACAGGACAGCGGACCCTCCTTGGCAGGCCCCTGGAGAAGGAAGATGGGTGATGTGCCAAACCAGCCAACTATCCTCCAGAAGGCTATACAGAGAAGTGGGGGGAAATGGTCTCCATTCCCCAGCCCCAGAGTATTTAAATTGGAATGTTGGATGAGACAACATGGGGGAATTGTTGAACACGGAGTGGGGCAGCTGGGTGTTGTGTGAGTTTGGAGGGGAGAGTTTCTTGGTTAGGAAGGGACATGTGTAAAACAGGAGGTAGTCGTGCAGAGAGTATGCATTCTACACTCCCCCAGAAGCAAAGCACCTGCGAAGTGGAGATCTTGTTTCTTTACATTTAATTTCTTCAGATTTGAACACACGTGAGGCCTTTGCATAGTGGGGGCTATTTTGCTTAGAAGGGAAGCAGGGTTAAGGCAGGGAGTATGGGGAAACAGATATGTTGGAGGGAGACATCTATCCCCTCTCTCCTGAGGAACCTCATTTAGTAGGCTCATTGGTGCGTGACAAATGTACCTTGGCTTTTGGACCTGACTACCTTACTGAGGTTTGTGTGTACATTGGGAGGAACTGGGATGTTTAGGGGAGTTGTCGGGGAGGAGTGGAGGCTCCTGGATATCTTCATTCACACATGTACACCACCTCTGATTAATCTCATTTGGCTCATCTTTCCACAAATGAGCCTACATACATTTGTCAGGGTCTGATGCATCTACTGAAGTTTGTTGGGTGGAAGAGAGAGAACTGGTGTGTTTAATTGTTGCTACTGAGGAGAGCATGGATGTTGGATGTGAGGGAGCTGGCTGTTTTCAGGCACAAAGAGGAGCTGAGTTGCTGAGGGAACTTGGGTGGAACCAGGTTATTTGGGGAGGCATAGAGGGAGTGGTTGGCATGCAGGGGGTGTGGAGCGTTTCTTGCTTCTTGTAAATGTGGATGTCTGTCAAACCTCATTAGACTTGTTAGTCTCTGACAAATGTATGCAAGCTCATTGGGGACTGAGGGGAGCTTATGGAGACTTGTTGGGGATGAGGGAGGATGGAGGCACAGGGAGTCATAAGGGATATGGAAAGTCTGGCAGTGTGAGGTTGGAGGTACAGGGTGCTAGGGCACATGGAAGGGTTAAGAAAGGTATTTACAGACCATGAAATGTATGTAGAGTGAATGCCTTAAGCAGATGGTGTCCTCAGCGTTTCAGTACCCTGCTCATTCCCTGCCCAATGTGAGTATATAAACCTTAGGAGGTCTACATTTGCTTAAAGGACTCACTCACCCTGGATACCTTTCAAGGGCTGTATGGGGGAAAACATTCCTTTCAGACCATTTCATTTTATATCAATTGCTTTCTCTTCAGTTTTATAGTCCCTTCAATGAAGCGTTGATGTGAATCATACTTCTTGAACAACAGGAGAAAAGAGACACAACAGTTCCTGGTCAAAGTTTTCAAATTTATTTAGAGCTTGGGTTTTGTATCCTTTATTTTGATCTTTTTGAAGATCACCTTTCCATACCTCTTTTAATGAGTTTGAGAGAGATGGCCTACCCTCAGTTGAATGTATTTGAAAGGTTTGGGCCAACCTGAAACCATCTTATGCTATGGAGAGGGACTTTTAAATGAAAGACAGTACTTTGATCCTCCTCTTTGGAACCCAGTGAATAGAGTGGATTTTTGGGGGGTTTTTTTTGGTTTTTTTTTTGTAATAGCAGTTTTCTTTTTTATTTACGTACATCTGTTGTGTCAGATTTACTCCTGAGCCATAAGTTTTTGTTTCTTCAGCTTCTTTTGAGAGATCTTTTTCTTCTGAGCAACTTCCTCTTCTGGCTTTGGAGCAATCTGCTCCTTCTCAGTGAGGATCATCTCAATATGACCCGGGGAGCTCATGTCGGGGTTGATATGACCATAACCTCTGTAGGTATGCCTGGGCATTTTGTGGGCCTTGTTGACCTGGATGTGCTCAATTACCAGAGAATCCACATCCTGCTGTTCAGTCTGGGTTTAGAGGAGTTTTGTTTCAGCAGAAATCAATTTGTACAACCTCAGGGGTATAACTGGAGTTTATTAAACAGGGAGATTTTGATTAGTTTGAAATATGAATGATATTTTTCAGAATTATAGTATTTTTTCTGTTTGCTTGCATAATACTGTAGAAATAATTATGAATCTTCTTTTTAACCTAGATTTGCAAAATCTCATGTGCTTCTGCATTAAACTTGCAGACTCATTTTCTTGGATTCAAACACAAGACGGTAAGATTAGGGTTTTGTGTGTGTCAGATTTTGTAGATAGTTACATTAAACAATGATGATGTGTAGGATTGTAATCACTATTTTCTTTTTAAAGTAATGTTCTAAAATGTGTAAAATTAGCAAAGCATCTAAATTTTTGTTTAGAATTTTCTTGCATTACTGTTTGTCATGTACAGTAAAGCAGAACTTTTTTGTATAGCAATGATGTTTAAAAAGGTTCATGTTGATCTAGCTGTGTCTTGCTGTCTGGATTAGTGAGAGCAAAGGGGGATTTAAACATTGCAACACTCAGTGTTGCAGTGCCTATTTCCTAGGTACCCAACCAGTGGAATACACAGCCTCAAGTTAGGGGCTTAACACTCCCTTTACAAAGCACGGGAGCCTTGGCATCTAAGAAGGGTATTCTCAGTGCCACCAAAGCTAGCCAGGAGCATGAAATGCAGATGAAAAAGGGCAGGATTTAGGGCCCAGATTCACAGTGGTACTTAGGCACCTAACTCCGATTGATCTGGGCCTTAGCTGTCTATCTCCATTTGGAAAAAGAACAGGAGTACTTGTGGCACCTTAGAGACTAACAAATTTATTTGAACATAAGCTTTCGTGGGCTACAGCCCACTTCATCGGATGCATACAGTGGAAAATACAGTAGGACGATTTTATATACACAGAGAACATGAAGCAATGGGTGTTACCATGCACACTATAACGAGAGTGATCAGTTAAGGTGAGCTATTACCAGCAGGAGAGGAAAACTGCTATGGGTACCCGCATGGCCCCACAGTATGCCAACATTTTTATGGCTGACTTAGAACAACTCTTCCTCAGCTCTTGTCCCCTAATGCCCCTACTCTAGTTGCGCTACATTGATGACCTCTTCATCATCTGGACCCATAGAAAAGAAGGCCTTGAGAAATTCCACCATGATTTTAACAATTTCTATCAACCTCAGGCTGGACCAGTCCACACAAGAGATCCACTTCCTGGACATGACAGTGCTAATAAGCTTTGGTCACATAAACACCATCCTATACCAGAAACCTGCTGACTGCTATTCTTACGTACATGCCTCCAGCTTTCATCCAGAACACACCAAATAATCCATTGTCTATAGCCAAACTCTACAATACAACTGCATTTGCTCCAACCCCTCAGACAGAGACAAACACCTAGAAGATCTCTATCAAGCATTCTTACAACTACAATACCCGCCTGTTGAAGTGAAGAAAGAGATTGACAGAGCCAGAAGAGTACCCAGAAGTCACCTACTACAGGACAGGCCCAACAAAGAAAATAACAGAACGCCACTAGTCGTCAACTTCAACCCCCAACTAAAACCTCTCCAGCGCATCATCAAGGATCTACAACCTATCCTGAAGGATGACCCATCACTCTCACAGATCTTGGGAGACAGGCCAGTCCTTGCTTACAGACAGCCCCCCAACCTGAAGCAGATACTCAGCAGCAACCACACACCGCACAACAAAACCACTAACCCAGGAACCTATCCTTGCAACAAAGCCGTTGCCAACAGTGTCCACATATCTATTCAGGGGACACCATCATAGGGCCTAATCACATCAGCCACACTATCAGAGGCTCTTTCACCTGCACATCTACCAATGTGATATATGCCATCATGTGCCAGCAATGCCCCTCTGCCATGTACATAGGTCAGACTGGACAATCTCTACATAAAAGAATAAATGGACACAAATCAGATGTCAAGAATTATAGCGTTCAAAAACCAGTCGGAGAACACTTCAATCTCTCTGGTCACTCGATTACAGACCTAAAAGTGGCAATATTACAACAAAAAAACTTCAAAAACAGACTCCAACGAGAGACTGCTGAATTGGAATTAATTTACAAACTGGACACCATTAAATTAGCCTTGAATAAAGACTAGGAGTGGATGTGTCATTACACAAAGTAAAACTATTTCCCCATGTTTATTTTTCCCCTCTACTGTTCCTCACACATTCTTGTCAACTGCTGGAAATGGCCCACCTTGATTATCACTACAAAAGGGTTTTTTTCTCTCCTGCTGGTAATAGCTCACCTTAACTGATCACTCTCGTTATAGTGTGCATGGTAACAACCATTATTTCATGTTCTCTGTATATATAAAATCGTTCTACTGTATTTTCCAATGAATGCATCCAATGAAGTGGGCTGTATAGCCCACGAAAGCTTATGGTCAAATAAATTTGTTAGTCTCTAAGGTGCCACAAGTCCTCCAGTTCTTTTTGCAGATACAGACTAACGTGGCTGCTACTCTGAAACCTATCTCCATTTAAGATTCTCAGCTATTAACTCTTCCCTGAAGTTAGTCACCTAAGACAGGTCAGTCCTTTCTTGGGGGACAGGGGGGGAGAGAGAGAGACCTACCCACCCATTAGAGTCTATTGGCTAGGTCACTCATCTTTTCAGGTCCTGTAGGGGGGAACACCTAGTTTGGGAATCCTGTCAGCGCTTAGGTATGAGCAAGGGCTCTGGGATGGCATCTGGACTTAAACGGCTTTGTGCATACCCATTGGCAGAAACTTAGGTATTTAAGTTGGCACGTGCAGCTTTAGGCAGCAGCTGAGCTATGGTTTTGTGAATGCCATTATTACCTAAATATTGGATTTTGGTGCCCAAGTTCCCTTTATAAATATAGCCCAAAATATGTTTCAGAGCTTCATGCTCTAATCAGCAAGGGGCATGAGGCAAGATCAAATACAGATGCAGATACTAATTAATCTGAATAATGAGGCTAATATAATAGGAAAAAGTGGATTGATTTAAATCAGAACAATGTAAATAATTGACTTTTACTAATGATTTAAATCAGCAAGCAGGAACCATTGATTTAAAAATCAATTTTAATTATGTTTTGCATTTGTACTTCTTCACTATTTTCTTAAAGAAAGTTTATTGTAATTGATTGCTAACCCCTGAAATGTTGATTTGCAGCTAAATATAGCCTTTACCCTAAACTCAGTGCTTCTCTTGGCGAACCAAGAGGATACACTCTCTAAATAAATATAATTGCTTAAAAATGTGTATATAGAGTCTTTAACTGTTACATTTATGTTTGAAAATGGTGATTTATGCATTTCTGATTTACTAGATAATGATTAATTTATACTTGTAATTGGTGTCAAGCTCTGTTTGGGTGGAAGTGCAAGTTTAATTAAAAAGGCACAAAACCAGCATTTTTAAAAATTAAATGATCTTAAATGTACTGGATACATAAGAAAAATGATTTAAAAGTTTATCAAAACGTGTTTTGCATTTTAAACTAATTGTTTTAATAAACAAAAGCGGTATTATCTGTAGTTAGTGATTTGAACTGACCGTTTCTGGGCTGTGTGTCCTTCAAAATTTTGGAACTTGTACATCTCATCCTCTCACACCTAGTTTTTATTCATAGATTGGGAGTGGAAAACAAGCTCCGCTGCTTTTTGAATTCCCAAATGGTTTCTTAACTGTGACTGAACTAGTCATTGGACTGAACTAATAGAATAAACTGAAATGAAGAAAATATTCTCTCTCTAACTGCAGAAGAGGCTCCTGCTCTTAAAAGCTTTCTTAGCATTGCAACAAACTCTGGTTCTAGGTGCTCAGCTAGTGACTTCCAGTAGTTCAGTGGTCTGGATTTCTTTAGAACTTGGTAGCAAATATATATTGCTTAATATTATTTTTGTATTTAATTTCAATGATCATAATAGATTTAAGTCTAGGCCTTAACCCAGGTTGTCTGTTTTAAATAGGTTCATTTTTTCAACCTGTATTTAATTTAAATTTAAAAAAATACGTTTATGATTTTAAAAAATTGATTCTTATTCACCCTGACATCCATTGATCCATTCATTGGAGAAAAATTTTTTGAATAATCATCTTTTGTGTAATCCTTAATCTAATTAGTTTTTTATATAAATAGTGACTGTCCATCTCTTTGGCAATGTAAAATTTCTAAGAAATTAAACCATTAAATTGGTTTTTCTCTCATCAATTTAGGTTGAAGAAGCTCTAAAAGCCCATGGCATTGGTAAGTGCTAAAGTATAACTTTTTGCTTTGGTTAGATGTCTTTTATAAACATCCATACAAAACTGAAAGTGACCTTTTTAAGAACTTTAATTTTAGGTCCAATCCTGCAGAAGTCAGTGTAACTAATTGTGTTAGCAAGGGGTGTACAGGATTGGGCACTAGAATTGTAACATTTTGGGATTAATCATAAGAGGACCTGGTCTACACTAGAGAAATAGCTAGAAGAGGTTTGAATTCATTACTTGTGGAGGGTTAACTATTAAACCAAATGATAGCTATTTAATTGTCAACTTCAATTATTCCACTGCTAATTATTTTAACAGAAAAATAGTGTGGTTGTATTTTATAAAGTTCAGAGGTGGAAAAGACTTAAGTCATTTTACACACCCTTGGCCCTAAAGTTGTACAGTTTGATACAGTGTATTTTCCAGTGCTTTTTTCCAGTCTAAATTTAAATGTTCAATTTAATTTTTTATGTCCCAAGATGTTGGGCTTTTGTTGTATTGTTTGGAGAAAGTTCCCACAGCACAATAGACCCCTCACCGCTGGGCAGTTTTTTCCATTTTTTTGTTTTTGTTTTTTATACATTGGAATTCTTTTTTTCTTACTTTTATCCCATTATTCTGTGTTAGACCAGAATTCAAATTCAGACGCAAGCATCACAAGGCCTGTTTGGTGCTCCAAATCTATTCATTGAACACCCCAGGGAGGACTTGTGGCAATTCTCTTCCCAACGCAGGGGGTTGGCCATCTGTGAGAATTTATTTGTGAATAATCTACCACTCCTCTGCTCTTCCCCCGCCCCAATCTGCTCCCTTTTCTGACTGAAAAACTCAGTTTACGTATGAATAAATGATGCACTGTATGTTCTAAATCTGTATAATTTTAGTCTTTCATGCATGGCAAAATAAAATCTTTTTAAATATTAAATTTTGAATAGAAATAACTTCTGCAATGTATGATTACAGTGAAGGAGGGTTCTGACACACTTTCTTTACTTCTTCTTGCAGAGGGGGTGAAGCCAGCAGGGTTTCCTCTTTGTCCTGTAATCTTGTCTGGTTTTTCAGGGCTTGTCTACATTAGCTGTTCTCATCAATTCCCCTGTGTAGATAAGCAGTCCCTTGTGAACGCAAGGGTAACCAGGAGCACTGTGCTCTGCCCTTATGCCAGAGGAGAGCTCTTTATATGAAATTAACTAGCCCATTCTAAATCCCCTCTCTGTATCATGTAATGTCTCAAAGTAGGTGTGAAGTGCTGGATTTAAAGCTTAATGTAGCAGACTCTCATTCCAGGCTGGGTTCGTTTGGAGATTTTCACTATTACTGGGTTCTGCTGTAATTTAATACTTTGGTATGAGTTTAATTAATTGTAAAATTGGCAGCTTGGTTGGTATTGTAATTTCTTGTCCTCTTTATTAAATTGTCTAGCACTAATTTGGTGTATTGTAATTCTTTGGTATGAATGTTTGTGCTTCAACTATTACCAGCAAAATTTAACTTTTGGTACACAGAGATTAAAGTAATATAATTTGTTCCTTTACACATCAACAAGAAGTTCGCATTGTTTCCTTTAAACATGGTGTATGTCCAGTCTTTGTGACTGGGTTCTTCTCAAGATCTCGTTCCAGTCTTTGTTCATAAATTTTTACATTTTTTTTTTTAGTTAAAACTGTGGGTGGAATAGGGGACCAAGCAAAAGCACCTATAAAACTTCCTGATTATGGTAAGTTAATTTCCTTATTCAATATAATGCACAAACATGCAGCTGTGCCATGATTTAATGTCCTGCAAGAGCCAGGGATGCTAGAAGTTAGCACCTCCCGCTGGCCGACAGACCCCGCGGATCAGCGCGTTACCCCTCCTCCCCCCGCCTCTTGCCCATTGCAATCAGCTTGCTTGCAGCCTTCAGGAGGGAAGGGGAGGAGCGAGGATTCCCGAACGCTGCAAACCAGCTGATTGCCGTGGGCAGGAGGCAGGGAAGGGAGGGGGGGAGGCTGCGCACCAAGTCCGTGCTCCTCCCCTCACCCTCCTGCCCCATAAATGTTGCAAGCCAGCTGATTGCCACGCCGTCTCCTCGCTCCTCCCCACTTCCCCCTGAACGTCGCAAGCAAGCTGATTGCTGCAGGCAGGTGGCAGGGGAGGGAGGGGGGAGGTGCGAGGATGCAGTATGCGGAGTAAAGGGCAGCAGGGGAAGAAGAGGTGGGTTAAGGGTGGGGGCTTGGGGATGGGGTGGAGTGGGCGGGCCGAGGGTTGAGCTCCCCGCCCCTGGTGCTTGCAGAGTAGGGGAAGCTGCTGCTGCTGCGCAATGTGCTTCTCTTAGCCTACAGCACCTTCAGCCTCCTTGCCTGCCTCATTGTCTCCAGTGCCAGTGGGCTGTGCCTGTGTGGGATAAGGCGGGGGACCTCCCAACTATAGTACTGTACTGTATGGCAAAAAATAAATTTCCCTGGAACCTAACCCCCGCATTTACATTCATTCTTATGGGGAAATAGGATTCGCTTAACATCGTTTCACTTAAAGTCGCATTTTTCAGGAACATAACTACAATGTTAAGTAAGGAGTTACTGTACCTCTACAACATTTTCCTTGCAAGAGAAGACAGTGTGAGTGGGTGGGACTTCAGGGATAATGCTTCACTACATCAAATGGCTCAATGCTGTTCCTCCTGAAGGGCATTGCAGAGCAAGGATTGGTTTGGATTTATTGGCAAACTTAAGTCCGTGATTGAAGTGGAGGACACCACTTCCTTCTCCTAGATTTCCCACCGCTCTAGAGAGTATCTAAGTATATAACAGTACACAGTGCGTGGCGGTTATTGCTTTGGTAAAGGGAACTAACCACATTTTAATAAAGTGCTTTTATTTTATAGTTCAAACTGAGCCAGAGAAGTTTCAAGGACAAACCTTGGAAGAACAGCTTAATACATGTAAAGATTCAGAACCTGCACTTGGTGAGCATTTTTTTAAATGCTGTAATTAAATGCCAGCAATGTTTACATTTCCCGAGGGATTGAGTGAATTTATACATTCATAAGTATGAAATTAGGTAAATCTTTTACAATTTCCATTACTTGTTCTGCTGGTACAGTGTAAGTGAATCTTACTGATGAAAGTTTTTGGACTTCTCATTTCATATTTATTCTTGATTAGGTTGGACATGTATCTGTTGAGAGTGTGGGTTACAAATAATGTAAGGGTGTATATATTAGAAGCTACTCTTTACTAAGTGATTCTGTGATTACTCTTATTATAATATCATAGTTGATGGGTTTGAATATAAAAATGCATTTTTATACAAACATGTCAGTTTCTCTTTGTTGGAGAGGAGAGTCTATTTCTAAGGAACACAGAAAGAGATGGTAAGCAGAGGATTGTCCTACATTTTCCAAAAGTGACTAGTGACTTTTGAATACCTCAGTTTTTGTTGCCCAACTTGAGGAACTTAAAGAGAGCACATTTTCACAGGTTGGTGGTTAGGAAGATGTCTTAAGCTTAACGCCCAAAAATTGAGGTACTCAAAATAGCTAGTTATTAAAATCTTAGCCAATTTGTTTAGTACCTAATAAGTCACTAAGGCTTGCTTTAGTTTCTTTTTCTTGTATGGGCTGTTGATCGTCTGTGTACTGAGTAATAATATGTAGTGCAGATCGTTTTAGTAAACACTAAATTGTAAAATATCTCTTTCTTCTATACAGGACTTGAATATATAATTGAATACCGATCAAAAGAGAATCTCCTTGTTCTCTACGAGTGTCAGCTGTGCCACTGTCAAACGGGATTGAGTAACATGTTCATGCATGTTTATGGCTCTAAACATAGACTGGCATATCTGGTAAGTGGGGTTTATTTATTTATTTATTTATTTATTTATTTGAGTAAGTGTTCTTTAGACTGTTAGGTGGCAAATTCTCTACTTGCACCTTTCATTTTAAATATATTTGCATTAGGATGTTAAACCAATAAAAATAAAATGATTGTATATACACATTATCTAAGGCAAGTTCAGTTGTAATAGAGCCACACACGTGGGTTTATGCTCTGGACTGTTATTAGGTGTAAAATTCTGAGCTGTTCCTTTGCCTAACAGTAGCAAACATGTTCCTAGCTGCTGCTGACTCCCTAAATTGTCAGTTTCTTTTCTTTGGTTGATTGAAGAAGTTATCTTGATAGCAACAATAAAAGCCTCAGCTTTTCTGTAATATAAACAGATAACAACAGGTATATTTATAAAGAAAATAACTAAAAACACACACTAGCAAAACAAGACAATGCTTCTCTGTCTGGACAGAGAATGAGAGAACAAACAACATGTGACAGGTGTGTAGTCATGTTGCTTAACTGCACTACTGGAAGGCATTCAGATACTACAGTAAGGTGTAGTATAAAAAATAGAATAATTCCTTAATGGAAGCTTTTTTCAAAAGTTACATTTTTATCATTTATAATTGTTTTTTATTTCTAAAATAAAAGAACCAAAACAGTGAAAAACTGTTGTCTGTTCCAGGGTGCCTCTAAGCATATATTCATTTTAGGTCTACAAGAACATTGTATGATAAGAGTACATGATTGGGCATCAGGAATTCTGAGTTGTGTTCCTGGCATTGCCACTAGAACAGCATGTGAGTGGGCAAGCTGTACCTCCGTTTTCCAGTCAAAATTTTTTAAAGCACTTTGACATCCTTGGATGGGAAGGTACTTTTAGAATTATCAAGAATTTGTCCTTTTTGAGTTCTCTTTTTCTTAATATGTTCAGACAAATGACATTGCCCCATCTTTGAACACTGACTTGAATTTACTCTGTATCAGTCCAAGATGGACACTTCAGAGCATTGCCTTTTGTGCTTTGAAGGAATATCATGATGCTCTCGGATATGGGATCTGCTCAGAGATGGCTGTTTAAATTCTCAGATCCCATGAAGAACTCTTGGCATCCCTTAAGTTAGTCATTGAAAGCTACAGGGTCACATAATGGTTCATTGTTGATAGAGATCCTGCTGAAGCTGTCAACTTTTATTCAGAACTCAATTATACTTCTATCACAGCAGCACTTCAGAGCGGTCCATCTGCTTCAACTTATCGGTGCCAAATAGATCTGTTGAGACAGCCACACTAGTTACGGACTTTTTGATGCATGTTCCTTCTGGTGCTATATTCAGATTTAGAGGTGAAGGTTAAGCCTCTAACAAAATGCAGAGTGAAATCTGCATTGCTGATTGAGATCTTCGCAGCCCTTTGACACCTTATTTGCTCGACTCCTATTTATATATTTCTGAGTTCTTTCCTACTAGCTCTATTTTTGTTAGTCCAGATTGGACAAACATCATTAGGGTCTTGAATGCAGCTTGGATTTGATGTAGGGTCTGCAGCATTTTTCAACCATGTACGTTCAGTTAATTTGACACTACAGGTGCAGTGAGCATTCAGGGCATATTCTGTGTGCCAAGCCAGTTCTTAGTGATAATATGGTTGCATGTAGCCAATCTCTGGAGTGAAAGCTGTGCCCAACCTTTGGTTCCTTCAAAACATTTTACTACTGTACTACTGTATGGAACTTCTTCATTGGTACAAGGGGATATTGTCACAAACACTGGCAAAAAAATCAACATGCCCAGATTTCCATATGGCACTCAGCATCTTGAGATTTTGAGTGCATGATGGAAAGGAATGCAATTCTCAAGTCAGTGCTGTCTAGAGGAGTGGTCCCTTAGTAATCAATATGCAGCTCACAAGGGCCGAGGAAGAAAAATTTTTCTCAGAGGATTTGAGCTTTAACTTCATGAGAAGGATAAAAATTCCTAGGAGGACGTAATGGAGTTCCTGGAGCTGTAGGCCCTACAAGATCCTGTAGTGAAAGGAGAGCAGCTAGCTCTCTTATTGAAGTTAAATCAGAAAGTGAAGCATAATTCTGAATAATAAGGGGGACAATATCAAATATTGTTTACATCTTCCTTGCATGAGTTTAGTGGAGGCAGTAATGGCCAAAATGAGAACTGACACTAAAACAGGATACATGGTTCAGTTTCCCTGAGTCATTAAGAGCTGTATTGAATAAAGTACTTCTAGTAGGAAATAAGCACCATCATTTCAGATGTTGCTTTTTGGATTGGTATCAGCTCTTTGCATACTTTTATGAAGAGCATGCATGTTGTAGTGGTGTTTTTCCACAAATGCGAAATAGTGTTCCTCTAGCTGGATGTGGACAGCTCTTTAAAAAGATCCAAGAATCTATTCAGATCGCTATCATGTTGCTGAAATCTGAAATTGAAATTAATTTAAATAAAATTTTTAAAAAATCACAGCTTGTTTCTTAAAATAATTTAGAATACATAGCCCATTCTAAATGTAACTTTGAAAAGTTGTCTTTACATCTTCAAGAGTATAACTCAAGTAGACCTGGATCAAGATAAAAGAGGTAGCAGAGAAGTGGTGTGGTCTCTCCTATGAAGCTACATTAGTGACCTCTGGCAGTTTTTCCATTTTCCAGTGGGGTTGCTGGCTGTCAGAAATCTGTCTGACATTAAAGGATGATCTGTGAAGTTGGGCTGCTCAGATTCCTGCTGGGGGATGTGAGATACATTGAGAGCCACTCTTCTTGTTGGCAAGTCAATCTTAGAAGCAACGCATGCAGTGTAAAATACAGTGGAAGATATATATATATACACAGAGAACATGAAAAAATGGGTGTTGCCAAACCAACTGATAGGTTTCAGAGTAGCAGCCATGTTAGTCTGTATCGGCAAAAAGAAAAGGAGTACTTGTGCCACCTTAGAGACTAACAAATTTATTTGAGCATAAGCTTTTGTGAGCTACAGCTCACTTCATTGGATGCATACAGTGGAAAATACAATGGGGAGAGCTTCCTCAGCTTTTGTCTCCTAATGCCCCTACTCTACTTGCCCTACATTGATGACATCTTCATCATCTGGACCCATGGAAAAGAAGCCCTTGAGGAATTCCACCATGATTTCAACAATTTCCATCCCACCATCAACCTCAGTGGGGACCAGTCCACACAAGAGATCCACTTCCTGGACACTACAGTGCTAATAAGCGATGGTCACATAAGCACCACCCTATACCAGAAACCTGCGGACCTCTGTTCTTACCTATATGCCTCCAGCTTTCATCCAAACCACACCACACGATCCATTGTCTACAGCCAAGCTCTGCAATACAACCGCATTTGCTCCAACCCCTCAGAGAGAGACAAACACCTACAAGATCTCTATCAAGCATTCTTACAACTACAATACCCGCCTGTTGAAGTGAAGAAAGAGATTGACAGAGCCAGAAGAGTACCCAGAAGTCACCTACTACAGGACAGGCCCAACAAAGAAAATAACAGAACACCACTAGCCATCACCTTCAACCCCCAACTAAAACCTCTCCAGCGCATCATCAAGGATTTACAACCTATCCTGAAGGATGACCCATCACTCTCACAGATCTTGGGAGACAGGCCAGTCCTTGCTTACAGACAGCCCCCCAACCTGAAGCAGATACTCAGCAGCAACCACACACCGCACAACAAAACCACTAACCCAGGAACCTATCCTTGCAACAAAGCCGTTGCCAACAGTGTCCACATATCTATTCAGGGGACACCATCATAGGGCCTAATCACATCAGCCACACTATCAGAGGCTCTTTCACCTGCACATCTACCAATGTGATATATGCCATCATGTGCCAGCAATGCCCCTCTGCCATGTACATAGGTCAAACTGGACAGTCTCTATGTAAAAGAATAAGTGGACACAAATCAGATGTCAAGAATTATAGCGTTCAAAAACCAGTCGGAGAATACTTCAATCTCTCTGGTCACTCGATTACAGACCTAAAAGTGGCAATATTACAACAAAAAAACTTCAAAAACAGACTCCAACGAGAGACTGCTGAATTGGAATTAATTTGCAAACTGGACACCATTAACTTAGGCTTGAATAAAGACTGGGACTGGATGTGTCATTACACAAAGTAAAACTGTTTCCCCACGATTATTCCCCCCTCCCGCCCCCCCCACTGTTCCTCACACATTCTTGTCAACTGCTGGAAATGGCCCACCTTGATTATCACTACAAAAGGGTTTTTTTCTCTCCTGCTGGTAATAGCTCCCCTTAACTGATTAGTCTCATTACAGTTGGTATGGCAACACCCATTTTTTCATATTCTGTGTGTATATATATATCTTCCTACTGTATTTTACATTGCATGCATCCGATGTAATGGGTTTTACCCCATGAAAGCTTATGTCCAAATAAATTTGTTACTCTTTAATGTGCCACAAATACTCTTCGGGTTTTTTTTTGCTGATACATACTAACATGGCTACGTCTCTGAAATTTTAGAAGGGTTATTTTGGCTTCATGTGGATTCATGACATGCTCCCAATGGGTGGAATGACCTTCTCAGAACTGGCTATTTCCTTAACATAAAATATTTAAGGAGTACTGGCTTATTATTCAAGCTATCGTGAACCCTACCCACCATTTAGGGTTAACCTTGGGGCAGATAACCTAGACAGTTTTTCCTAGTAAAACCATAATAAAAGACTTAAAGAGTGATTACTGTGGTCCTTTGTGGATGGGAGAACACAACTACTGAATGATGGAATGGAAAGTTTGATGTACAAAATACAGGGTATTTAAGCAGAAGATGATAATTCCAAAACCAGGCTAGATTGATTTTAAATCAATTTTTACAGTGATTTAAATCAGTAAACAGGAAATCTTGCTTTAAATAATTGATTTAAATTATTATTTGCATTTATACTTTTTATTTTTTTCTTTTTAAAGAAAGATTGATTCCTATTGGTTGGTAACCATTAAAGCATGTTGATTTGTAACCAATCACCTTCACACTAAACTTTTTTCTTATCAGGAAGTTACACTATATATTTATTTAAGTAATTACATAGCTTGATTTATGTTTGTTCAGATCAAGTTATTCAAATCGTTTTTACATTTTATGTTAGAAAATGGTGAATGTTGCATTTCTGATTTACTAGATGATTAATTTATGTGTAATTGGTGTCAAGCTCTATTTGGATGGAAATTCATGTTTAATTAAAATGCACAAAACAAGCATTTACATTTTTTCTTAAAAAGTACTTTTAATATGCTGGATAAATAAGAGAAAAAAGTTTATCAATATATGCTTTGCATTTCAAACTAACATTTATTAAAGTATTATCTGTAGTATTTAGTGAATTGAACTAATTTTCTGGTCACCATGTCCCTCTAGATTTTTAGAACTAGTAGATGTCATTCTCACATTACTGCTTTTTCAGCTCCCAAATGGTTTCTTAACTTTGAACTGAATGAGTTGAATAAACTGGAATGAAGACAATATTACCTCTGTAATTGCAGAAAAGACTCCTACTCTTAAAAGCTAGTTTAGCACTTCAACAAACTCTGGTTCTAGGTGCTTAGCCAGTGACTTCCACCAGTTCACTGGTATAACTTTCTTTAAAACTTGGAACCAAATGTATTGCTTAATATTATTTTTGTATTTAATATAAATGATTTGTAATAGATTATGGTAAATTTAGGCCTTAATATAGGTTGTCAATTTCAAATTTAATTTTAAATGTTTGGTTTTTTAAATCTTATTTATTTTAAATGCAAAAATTTATTATTTTTTTTAAATTATTTTTTTATCCACCATGTCCAAAACCCTTATTCTAGTCTTAAGGGTAATGCTGCCCTTAAATGCTTGGGGATGCTAGAAGAAATTAGTCTTTGTTCCAGACTTTTTCAATGAGACAAATCATGAGAATTCCGCACTCTTATTAGAATTGATTTTAGAGAATTTTTGTTATCTTTGCAGGTGATTCAGAAGGAAAAACCAATTGTGTAACATAGATTCCCCCTCCCCCCCCCTTTTTATATATTGATAAATTGTTCAGAGATTTGGCAAAGATCTGTAAATTTCAGCACCCAAGTGAATACACTTGATAGGTGCAGTCATAATAAAGGTAATTTTGCTGCTGTCGGCATGCCTAGGGGTCAGTAGCACAATTAAAAGGTTTATGGGTTTGTTTGATGCTTTGCACTTCACAGGCCTTGAAGAATTTTCTTTCCACTGTTTAAAGCGTAGTTTCTCAGTAAATCATCAATTTCTCATGGTGTAAAAATTCTGCTTTTATTATCTAAGTATGTTAGAAAATAGAAAATTATAAATCCAGCTTTGTTTTCTTAAAATGTATTGAAAAAGTTCTGTTGTCCATGTGCAAATGGCGATTTTTGCCTGATTTATAATCTACCCAAATCTGAAAAGATTTTCCAAGGGAAAAGGGCAGCTATAACTTCGGGACTTTTCCACTTTCAAATCTCTGAATTGCTACAGCTATTTTTTAAAAAGATGGTCTTTTTTTTAAGTTTGGCAAAACTCTGTATTTCTCACTGAACTCATTTTCAGAAGCATATACGCTGTATTTGCTCAGACTAAAAAATAATTTGAGGCAGAGTCTAAGTGTGGAATATTTAGCCTGAAAGGGTTATTTTTTTATTTAGATTTAAATAATAGATAGTTGTCAATTATAAACAGTTGAAAAAGGAGGGTTGGGCATGGCAACTGTAACTAGATAAAGTACTTATTGCTGTAGTATCTGAGCACCTCACAGTCTTTTATCTTCACAGTGCTCTTGTAAGGTAGGGAAAATACTATTATCCTCATTTTACAGATGAGGAACAGGCACAAGGTCAATGAGAAGTCTGTGGCAGAGTAGGGTATTGAATTTGGGTATCCTGACTCCCAGACTACCACTCTAAGTACTGACGTAGCTTTCCTTCACTGGTAGTCATTGCTTCTGATTTTTGCTTATAATTACATCCAAATAGAAAAAAATAGAAACTGTATTGTACATAACTGCTTGTATTGCCAGAGGGGAGAAAAAGGATATTTGACACTGTATTTTATCATTAAGAAAGTCTGGATTAATAGAGTGGGTGGCATTTTTATTTCTAGACACAGCATTATCCTGAGATAGTGGAATCTGATGAAATTAGAGGTCGAGGCTCAGAACTGAACAGAAGGCTTAAACAAGTTGCTGCAGTTATTGAAAAGAAGGAGGGAAGAAAACAAATAAAGGTAATTTTTTTAAAAAAAAGTTCAATGCCTATATGTTTATAAAAAATACTGATATCATCTTTCATTTATGGGATGGTAGACCCAACCCTCTTACTAACTTTGTAAATTACTGCCTATGTTATAAATGCTCTGTTCATTCTTAAAATGTTATTTTGGGTCCAGTTTTCTGTTGTTTACTGTTGAGCATGCAAAATCAGTTTTTTTTTATATAAGTGTATGCCCCTTCAAAAGTTCACAGAAGTTATATTAATCACCTTGTAGTACACTATAACAAAAATGTATATTGGTCAGTCTTCCTTTAGCTAGTAAAACGGAGAATGGGGAGTTTCCCTGTTTCAGCAAAAGTGAGAAACATGCTGTCATGAACAATATAAATTTTACAGGAAAAAGAATCCCACGGCACTGAAATTTCTGCATCTTATGCAGTATTGCAATTAGGTAGCATAACTTTCACATGCTACTGTTCAAACAAAAATATATTTTACATATGGCAAGAAAATTTACTTATTCTTATCGAGGTGCTTTGATTGCTTGCCATAAATCTTCATAACTGTTCTGAAGTATCCCATGCACATGAGCAAATAGAATACAACATTCTAACCAATATTTATATTAATGGCTATATTGTCATCATGTTGTAACATGCTACACTGTGGTTGAGTTTAGGCCAGTGACACTCATTGAGGTACTGAAAGTGTTGGGAAGATTTCCTCCCACAATCTGTTGTTTGTACCAGTGACCTCGCTGGCTCCATTACTGGTGGAGATTCACTGCCTCCCTTAGGGAGGGCAAGTGCTGACTTCTCTTAGGAAAACTGTTGCAGGTTTTTACCAAGGAAATCAACTATTTTAGGTTAATTATAGGCCAGTAGTACCTCTTCCATTTCTGGGTATAATTATAGAGAAGGTAGTGGCAAGACAAATGCTAAGTACCTAGATACCTTGTATCTTGCCACAGACCTGACAATGAGACATAATCAGTACTGGTAGCATTAGTAGATTATCTCTTCTTGGTGCTGAATTAAAACCAACTATGCATGCTGATATTGTTAGGTCTACCAGCAATAGCCTTTGGTACAGTTCTTTCCTTGCAGAGTGTTCCTAGAGGCTGGCGCGAGGCAATGGTTCCTACATCCTAAGGGCACTGTTTTATGGAGTTCCATAGGCTTCCATCTTGTCTCCTCTTCTGTTCAACATGTATGGGGCTGCTAGGAAGATTAATGAAGAAGACTGTCCTATTATGTATTCAGTATGCTGATGACACTGAGCTGCTTATATCCATTCCACTTGATCCAGCCAGTGCTAAAAAACGTCTAGCTTGATGTTTCAGAGAAATTGGGTAATGGATGAGAGCAAGGTGGCTGAAATTCAGTCCAGACAGTTCAGACTGAGGTGATGCTGGTAGATTGGGGGAAGCACCTTTGTGACATCTCAATCTGGGGTGATATTGGATCCCATTTTGCTGTTGGAGGATCACATTGCAGCAGTGTACAAGAATGTTTTTTGCCATCTGTCTGGCCATATGATTGCAGCTGTTTGTCTTGGATGTGTACCTTGCTACTTTACTACGTGCCTTTGTCACCTTGAAACTTGATTATTGCAGTGTACTCTGTGGGGCTACATCTTAAATCTATCTTAAACTAACTTAAACTGGTTCAGAATGCCGCAGCCTGCTTGTTAAGTAGTACTTCTTGATGGCAGCATCTGTTAACAGTTCTCCAAAATTTGCATTGGTAGTCTGTTGGTTTTCAGATGGAGTTTTAAGGTGTGGGGTGATATAAACTGTGTTGGACCTGCTTCATTGAGAGAGACAACCTTTCTCCCTTTGCAATACTGTCACAGTTGTGATCAGCACAGGAGCTTGATCCCCTTTTTTTATAAAAGGCAAAGGGATGCTGGCTCCTTTCCTTTGAAATGTTCTGCTCCTCAGGCTCTGAAAAAGTGTGACTTTGTTGGCTTGGTGGGCATACTGCAAAGCCCATCTATTTGAACAACCTTTGGTGGAGGCAGTTGAGGGTGGAATTTGTTGAAGTATGGCATGTGTTTTAAGCTGCATTGGTCACATGACTTGTGATTAAATGAGGCGTGGTATGGTGGTGGGATGAAGTACTGCTTAAGTTGATTTTTACTTTATATCTCCTACAGTCTAGAGTTTTTAAATATATGTCAAAGGCACCCAGAATTTTGTATGAGAGTCCTCTGGAGTGGAGTCCAAAATCTAAAGAAATAATGCAGGATAAGGTTAGAGGTGAACAGAAATGGGATATGTTTGCATATGTGATATTAAAATGTTTGCATGCAAATCCCTGATTTGCCACATGTCTGTCTAGCCACATGCATGCACAAATCACAGATTTACACATATCCATTCAGCTAATGTGTGCTACGAACTTACTGAAAATTAGTCCGCACTGTTAGTGGTATCCATGAAGAGCTGATTTGGTCTGAAAAGTAAATCATTGCATCAATTAACCTTATTTCGACAAGCAAAAAGGGAATAGGAGGAATTATTCATTGAATCCTCAATTTGAGTTGCTCTTGTTTCTTTTGTTTGTTGACTTTCCCCTATAAAATGTCTGACTGAAACTGTAACGTAGAAAATGTTTGTATGTATGGAATTTTGCTGGAAAGAGCACAACTGCCAGGTTGTTTTCGTGCAGGCCTACTTAATCCAGTTCATTCAGAGACTCTAGATTGTATATTTTACTTGTAATTCTTCTTGTCCTTCAAGTGGTGTCTACGTTTTCCCTCTCACAGGATGCACTGGCTGCCTTCGGCTCAGATGGTGAAACTTAACTAGCAGTGTCCGTTGGAGCGCTCATGTGCCTGGCCATGCCTTGCCCCAGCCCTGTTCCTGAATAGTCTAGGGGTGAAGTTATAAAAGGGGGTGTGGTATTTCAACCACCAGCTGTGAGATAAAGAACCGCTCCAGACTTTGTGCCTCGATCTTACCATTAGATAATGCTTAGTTACTTACTAATTGTTAATTTTAGATGGAAGTTATGTTTTAGAGTTACTAAGAATAAGTTTTACAATATCAGTAAGTAAGTTAGGAGATAGTATAGTAGTGTTGAGGCTTTGGCTTTGGCCTGTGATTATGGCAAATCCAAAGGTCAAGAAACATGTTTTAAACAGTGTGCCTCCTGCTCTTCAGTTTTCTGAACATTGGATGTGCATGCATCGCTCCATGCTGCCTCAGAGAAGGACATTTGATCTCCAGATGTGCTATCTGCAGCACTTTTACCTTGAGGACTAAGAAAGACAGATTAAAATAGTCTGCAAGCAGTACTCCTTCAAGAGGAGCTTGCAAGTGAAGCTTACTTGATTAGATAATATGATTGACACCAAAAACTGGCATAGGCCAGCCTTGTCACGAGATGTATTGAGGGACAAGGCTAAACGTCATATTAGATGTCTTCATTGACACCCCGTGCTTCCACCTCCCATCATCGGCTCAGACTTCTAAGAAGTTCCTTAGACAAGATCCTAAGCTTAGGCATCAAAAATCTAGGAAGAGAGAGATTTCAGTGGAAAAGGACTTTGTGAGAAAAGCCAATCTACAAATTAGAACCTCCTCTGAATCTGTTATGTTGAAACTGAATAGCGCACCATTGCGTAAAGACTGGAAATATAGCTGAAAATCCACACAGCATCACCAGATCCAGATATAATCCCAGTTTCCAGGGACTTGGATCCGATGATGAAATCAAAAAATCCAAAGGACCTAGTTGTCAAGACAGAAGGAGGCATGGAAGGTGATCTTGGATTCATGTAACGGTTCCAATCCTCTTATGCAACTATTTATCATGGTACAAGTGTAAATTCATCACTCAGATCTGATGGTGCCTCCCTGATCGGATCTGGAGAATGAAGAACTTCGGAAGAAAAGGAGCTCACTGGAACAGACTGTAGCAGAGAAAAGGAGCATAGAGGAACGGTATGCGATTCCAGTGTATGACATTCTCCATAGAAACTCTTCCCCAGGTACCCTCTCAAATTGTACTCTTATCTCCAATTTATGGGAATGGTAGCTTCTACAACATATGTCACCCCATTTGCTTGTTTCAAATTAAGAATAATACAGCACTGGTTATTGGCCAATTACAGACAAGGCACAGACAATATGAACTGAAAACTTCTCATTCCCAGACACGTGGTGGTGTTCCTAGATTGGTGAATCCAAGCCCCAGAATGTCTGCTGGGGTGTACCATTCAGCCCTCCTCTTCTATCTGCAACAGTGACTACAGATGTATCTTATATAGTTTGGCACACTCAATGCGGCAAGCTCATGGCTCGAGTATGTAAGAATTCCCTGAAGAAAAGATTACATTTAAACTAACTGGAATGCAGAGCAATTCAGTGTGTGGAAGGTGAGGCATGAATGCTTTCAGTGCCCAAAGTAGTTCAGGTGACCACAGACAATACCTCTGGAACGTTTTACTTGAAGAAGCAAGGAGGTGCACACTCTTCTCAACAATGTCAAGAGATGATGAGGTTGTGGGGATGATGCATCCTCCATAAGATATATCCCATAGTGATATACCTAGCTCAGAAGAACAACAATCTGGCAGACCAGTTAAGGAGAGCTCAAGTGGACAACCATGTGATACAGGAAATATTCACATGTTGGGGCCAGCACAGTTAGATCTCACTGCATCTGTTGATAAATTGAAGTCAGTTGCTTGACTGCACTTCGGTTTATTTTGAAATATACTCAAGAGATCAAATAACCAGTGCAAATCAGGTTTATTAATATGGTACAGGAAAGAGGTTCTATATGATACCAGTCTCTGAAGAGCAGTCCAGTGCAGTCAGTGCTGTTACATTTGTCTTGCACAGAAGGTGCTCTCCCCAAAGTTATACCTCTAAAGCCATCTTTTTGTACTTTATTTGCTTACTAGTGAAAGGTACCATATTTGTCATTTGAAGGGTATAACATAGTCTTAAGTATAACATAGAATTGAGCAAGTTGTGGGTAGGAGCTGAGGTCCCTTGAACATTCAGGAATGGATATGCGATGGGAGAAGTGGTGCGTGAATGCTCTAATGGATGCTGTTGATTAGAGAGACAAGGTGAGTGAAATAATATATTTTATTGGACCAACTTCTGTTGGTCAGAAATGAGCTTTTGAGCTTACACACAGCTCTTATTCAGAAGAGCTCTGTGTAAGTTTGAAAGCTTGTCTTTCTGACCAACAGAAGTTTGTCACCCACCTTGTCTGTCTGATATCCTGGAACCAACATGGCTACAACACTGAATACTGCTAATTAGATTCCTCCATCCGAGCTGCATGTGGCTGGTGCATCCCATGAAAGGGAATATGTGGAGTCCATCTCTAAGAACTCTGGTTACAAGTAGAAAGAAAAGGAGTACTTGTGGCACCTTAGAGACTAACCAATTTATTTGAGCATGAGCTTTCGTGAGCTACAGCTCACTTAATCGGATGCATACTGTGGAAACTGCAGAAGACATTATATACACAGAGACCATGAAACAATACCTCCTCCCACCCCACTCTCCTGCTGGTAATAGCTTATCTAAAGTGATCTAAAGAAAAAAAACAAGGGGAAATAGGCTACCTTGCATAATGACGTCATTATGCAAGGTAGCCTATTTCCCCTTGTTTTTTTCTTTAGATCACTTTAGATAAGCTATTACCAGCAGGAGAGTGGGGTGGGAGGAGGTATTGTTTCATGGTCTCTGTGTATATAATGTCTTCTGCAGTTTCCACAGTATGCATCCGATTAAGTGAGCTGTAGCTCATGAAAGCTCATGCTCAAATAAATTGGTTAGTCTCTAAGGTGCCACAAGTACTCCTTTTCTTTTTGCGAATACAGACTAACACGGCTGTTACTCTGAAACCTGGTTACAAGTAGGTAACCTTCATTTGTTTGAGCATAGCAGTAAGTAAGTCTTTATTTTGTGGGAGATGTCTGTCTCCTTTAAGATTCTCTGCTGTTCCTGCACCTTGTTGTTGTAGGAAATAAGTTTTAAAAAACAAAGCAGGTGCACGAATCACTTAAATCCACTGGTTTCAGAGTAGCAGCCGTGTTAGTCTGTATTCGCAAAAAGAAAAGGAGTACTAGTGGCACCTTAGAGACTAATCAATAAATCCACTGGTTTGTTTACTGTGAGTCTAATATCTGCATCCGCTTTCCCTAGTTTTCCTACCTCCAGCATGTATGTATTGCAATGGGAAATACATAACTGGTATCCTGAGAGCTGGACTTCAGTTTGGCTCTGCTGTCAGGGATGGTAAATGCACTGACAACGTCTCTTTAAAAATAAATATTTTAATTAGGTTGGTTAGTTAGATGTTTAACCAAATGTGTGTTTAAAAGGTTTTGCTAACATAAATGGGCTTTATGTTTAGGTTGTAACGGATCCTCCTGTTATGAAGAGAAAATGGCAAGAATGTAAGTGTTCTCTGTATGTTTAAATCCTTCAATCTTGACTTGGGTGCAAGGTCTATTGACTTCAAAGGGAGTTTTGCCTGAGCATGCACTGCAAGAGTTGTTTGGTAGTTTGGAATGTGTTACTGTTGTTTGCTACATGTCTAGACTTGCGAGATGCTGAGTGAAAAACTGACATAAGCAAAATTGAAATAGGACACTGTTGTTCCAAAATAAGTGTTCACACACAGACTTGTACAGAAATAACAAAAGGTATGAATTAAAACCAGTTTAGTTATTTTGATGCAAGTTTGTGTGGAGACCAGACCTTAGAGTAGTTGAGCAAAAAGAGCAGTTGTATATAGGGGACCTAATAGTCACTTTCAGCCTATTGAAGAAAAAGTTATCCACTGGAAATCCAGATAAACTGGATTAATGTCAGTCTAGATCAAGGGCTCTCAAGCTTTTTCATAGTGTGAACTACTACTTAACAGTCTCATGGATTACCTCTTGTCCGATAATGATAACATGGACTACCTTCCTTCCTTACTGAATTTGCAAAAAAATCCTTGGAGCAACTTCAGCAATTACACTTATTATGCCATATAAGCATCTGTCTTTTACTGCAATTTAACAAGTGGAGACTATGAGGAGAGCCAGCACCATGTGGCCTCTCAGCTCTTCATATTACCAGTAAATGTAATTGGCTACAGACAACGGTTTGGCCACAAATTGATTGGCCACAGACAACAGTTTGGGAACCACTGTTTTGGGTTTCTAGTCTCTTGAGGTCTGTGAGTTTTTGGTTAGTGTGTTTGTCCATTTTGTGTAGATGATTCAGCAGAAACCAAAATATCATCAGCCTAGATTCCAACCAAAGATTACATAAAGGGTTGCTTGGTTGAAACTATTGAATTTTTAAATGCACAAGGAATTCTGTTAACTTGATAAGGGGGTTTTTTTGTACTGAATTTACAGATTACACAAACTATACAGTGGTATAAATAAGAATGTTTAGCAATTTATTAATATTAAGTATGTAAAAATAAGTTGTGTAACAAAGCAAGAAATTTATTTAGCTGAAACACTTTAAATGTAGCTTTAGATGCTTACAAATGAGCAACTTTGAACCTTCCCTAATAAACAGAAAATGTTAATCTAAGTGCATTTCAGGCATGTTTTTCTTGACTACCTTACAGATGGCTACCATTCAAAAGCTAAGGTTCAACGTGTGTATGCTTCAGCTAGCAATGAAGGAAAGGCAGAAAGTGATGTTGATAAGGATAAACAGATCACAGTTTCTACTCAAAGTCTACCTTCTCAAGGTCAGAGATTTAAACATGTTTTAAAAAATAACTTTATAATGCAGTGTTAACCTTTGTAAATTCATACCACCTATGGGATATATAGCTTGGCTTGGAAGGATTAGATTTTTGATAAATGTCAGTGAATGTTGATTTCACCACATACACAAACTGATAAAAAATATTTCGATTTATAAAAGTTGAAATTTACAGATAGACAAAGTAAGAAAAATGTTACTTGAAAACTTGTTTGATTTAAGGATTTTTATTTCGTATGCTTTGACGTGTGATGTTTGCCAATTTGTGTTTTAATGGTTATAAAACTCTAACTATATGAATCTCAGCATCTGTCAGTAAATATTTTCTGACATCCCATAATTGCCACAATTATGAAAATTTAATTAGCAATAAAAAATGCTTAAAACCCATAATGTTATGCAACTTTGAACATTTAAATCTATAAAAATGAAAAAAAAATGCTTAAAAATGAATATTGATAGCTGTCACTTATTTTTTTTAAAAAATTGAATTCCACCAAGCCTATATATAGCTTCTTTAGGTACTTTCAGCATATTTATGAGTTTGGTGGGTTTGTTGTGTGGAAAACTAAATAGATTGGAAAATATCTCAGCAATTTAAGGACTGGGGAAGTGAAGAGGCACAGAGGGCACAGCGTAAATTGGCTGGAGCTCAGTACAGTACAGAATGCCTTCAGGGAGCTGACCCTATCAGCACATGACAAGAACATATTGGTGATGGTGGACAGTATCTCAACTGCTGCCTATGTGAACAAGGAGGAAGACTGTAGCCAGCCTCCTACTCTCTGGGACAGAAAACAAGCTGTCATTGCTAGGTCCTTTCCACACAAAAGGAAAATTGACCATCAAAGCAGTCAGTCAGTTGCAGGAAGGACTTTCTTGACATGGATTTAATTCTATGCTAAAGTTGTCAAAGTATATTTTAGAGATCCAAGTACTGTTGCAGTGACAATAATGTGATGCCATGGCAACTGTGATGGGTGGAAAAGTTCTATGCTTCTGTCACAGATTGCACCACTCACCGCTAGTCTGGTGCCTCCTCTTGGTCACTCTGGGGATTAGCTCTTGATGTTGATGCCCCCTTCCACGCTGTCGTGGCTTGCACGCTGTCGTTCTGTCTCTCTCACAGGTCTGTAGCTTCTCTTGTCCCAGGAACTGCAGTGTTCTCTTCGTGACTCTAGCCCTGCGGCTGGATCACACGGTGTTCTCCCTTTCTGGGGTAGCAAAGTCTTTTCTCCCTAGCAATACTAAGAAGTCTTCCCTCTCGCCATGGTGCCATTCCCTCAGTGGCTGGTAGGGGAACCTGGTCTGCCCTATACTCCAAGTTCCAGTCCAGGAACCCTCAGCTCAGTAGTTCTGGGCCTTCCTCTCTCAGCCCTCACTGCTCCTTCCCTGGACTGCTTCCGACCACACCTGGTACCCCTTCTCCCTCTGGGTGTACCAACTCCAAAACTCTCCTTCATCTTCCCAGGAAGTGACTGCTGCCTGCCTTCCTGCAGCCTTTCCCAGCAGCCCCTGTCTGTTGCCAGCTACCTGGCTTTATACAGGCCCCGCCTGTTCCTGCATAGCTGAGCCTGCTCTCAGTTAGTTCCCTTTCTCCTCCTCCAGGTGAAGCCTGTGGAATTAATTGGCTTGCATGGCCATCTTAACCCCTTCTCATGCTGTGTGGGTGGACACCCCATCACAGCTTCATATGAAAAAATACTTAGAACAGCCATGTGTTGTTCTCTCCATACTTCTACCCACTTTTACAAGCTAGACTTGTAAGAATTATTCGATTCAAGGAGTTATGACTGAGTAAATGGATGAAATTAAGAAAAAGAAACTTAGGGTAAGTCTACACTACAAAATTAAGTTGACCTAAGTCATGTTGACGTACCACCGTCACAGTAATTAAATTGCTTTTGCATGTCCATGCTACGCTCCTTTTGTCGGTGGTGCACGTCCTCACTAGCAGCCCTTGCATTGAGGCTGAGAGCAGTGCACCATGGGTAGCTGACCCACTGTGCAACTTGCCACCATCTAGTGCGGGGTGTTTTGGGCAGGGTTTGCAATTCCTCATGGGGGCAAACAAGTCACACAGGGGTGATTGGGAACATGATTTCAGTGTCCCATGATGCAGGTTTCTCCATCCCATAATTTTATCTGCATCCCATAATGTTTCACACCTTTTTTCAAAAGTCCCGTAAACCCATGTGTCCGCCATCTCTATGTGAAGCATGGATCCTGCATAGCTCTGCACTGTTGTGATGAGTATTGCAAGCACAATGCACCTGATCCTGTAGTATTTGCAGAGCTGCCAGAGAAGCTAGGCAGAACAAGATAATTCCTTGGAGGCTGCCTTGCTGTTGGACATAGAAACAATTCACAGTTATTGTTGGCATTCGTGGAGCAGCTGCAGATGGTGGAGTGCCAGTTCTGGGCCTGAGAAACAAACATTGACTGGTAAGATAGAATTGTTATGCAGGAATGGGATGATGAGCAGTGGCTACAGAACTTATGGATGTGTGAGGCCACATTCCTGGAAGTGTTTGTGGCACTTGTCCAATTCCTCTGGCGCAGCAACACCAAAATGAGAACTACAATGCCAGTGGAGAAGCGAGTGGCAATCACTGTGTGGAAGCTTTCAATGCCAGATTTCTACCGATCAGTCAGGAATCAATTTGGAGGTGGGAAATCCACCGTGGGGGTTGCTGTGATGCAAGTGTGCAGGGTCATTAATCGCATCCTGCTATGAAGGACTGTGACTCTGAGCAATGTGCAGGACAGAGTGGATGGTTTTGCAGCAGTGGGGATCCCAAACTGTGATGGGGTAGTAGATGGCATGCATATCCCTATTTTGGCACCTGACACAGAGTACATCAACAGAAAGGGCTACTTTTCTATGGTATTGCAAACACTGGTGGATCACCAGGGACATTTTATCAACATCAACACAGGTTAGTCGGGGAAGGTGTATGACACACGTTTAAGAACACAGGCCTGTTAAGAAAGCTGCAAACAGACTTCCTTTCCAGACCACAGGGTCACCATTGGGGATATTGAAATGCCAACAGTGATCCTGGGAAACCCAGCCTACCCCTTACTCCCATGGCTGATGAAGAGGTCACAGGCCAACTCGACAGCAGCAAGGAGCTCTTCAACTACAGGCCGAGCCGTGCAGAATGACAGTTGAATGTGCCTCTGGCCATTTGAAAGGTCACTAGCGCTGTCTACTCACGAGAGTAGACTTCAGTGAAAAAAATAGCCAAGTGATTATAGCTGCCTGGTGTGTGCTTCAGAATATCTGTGCAGCAAAGGTGAAAAAATTTCTGCAGTATGCTCTCTGCTGATTTTGAGCAGCCAGATACCAGGGCTATAAGAAAAGCTCAGTGGGGAACTGTATGGCTCAGGGAGGCTTTGAAGGACCATTTTAATAGTGAGCCACAATAATGTGTGGTGGTGTAGTGTGTTCTGCCTGGCATTGCTTTTTTTGCAGCCCAGTGTGAATCTTGTAATGAGTGCTGTGTTTGTAGTAATAGAACATTGTAAATGCACCTATTGCTATTATCTCAGAATGATGTCAGACCCAGCCAGCATATGTTGTGAATTTATAAAGCTGAATTAAGTTTCCATAAGTAGACTTTTATTCCAAACCTATGCAAAAAGACATATTTATAACTGAATGAAACTTTATAAATACGGGGGAAAGAACAGTCATTTCCATTTCACAAACACACGTATCAGTTGTCTCTATCACAGGTCAGTGTATGTGTGGCTGTGATGGTCTGTACTTTCCTCTGGGGTGTAGAGGGTACCTCTAGGTAGTGCAGCAGCCCTGGATGCCATTTGAAATTTGGGGGGGGGGGGATGCAGGGACGTCCAAGAATGCAGTTCTCTGTGGACTGCAGAGAGAAGCGAGCACAGTGTGTTGAACCTGAAGATCAACAAGAGTCTCCAGCATGTCTGTTTGCCTCTTGAGAAGTGCTAGCATGTCTTGCTGCACATCTCTCTCCTTTTCCTGTGCTTTTCTCCTCTCCGCTCTATCCCTGTCCATTGTGTCAGCAAGGGTGATCCTCTGTTTTGTGCTCAGTATCCAAAGCACCGGAGGTTTGTGGGATCTCCTGGAACTGCAAACTGGCACTGTTTTCTACAGGCGGTGGTGATTTTAGCTGATATCTCACTCCTGAGGGTAACAGAGGCTGAAAGGGAACAGCTTCTGCACGCGTCCGGCTGCAGACCGGGTCTGTATGCTGCTAGCTTGTGTGTTGCAATGGTGGCTGCTGAGTGGTGTGGGACAGTGTCCTACTGCAGAGGAAGAGATAAGGCGGCCCTCCCCAGAAACCTTCGGCAGGGGATTGCATACTGCCATCACGAAAGTTCCCTTCAGATCTCTATGGAGGATTCCCAGGACAGCCTGATGCACATAACCATCGGTAGTCCCTCTCCCCCCCCCCCGGCCTAACTGTACAGGGGAATGAGAAGCAGACTCTACCTCTATTGGTTATTTCACTACTTCTTCCTGATTAAAAAGATTAAATGGTTGAAAAAGAGTAAATGAACAGATGTGTCCCTGCAATATCAAAGCAAATTGCATACTTATCAGAAGTTCCTTCCCCTGCATCAGGCTCACTTATGCTGGACTGTGGGGGCTGACTCGACTGCTCTGGAGTCAAAAACATATCCTGGTTCACTGTGCCACTGGATCCCCGGTCGCCTGTGCCCCATACTTCTCCTCTTCCTTGTCTAACACCTCTTCCTTACTGTTGACTTTGAGGGCCTGTGAATCCAGCTCTCTCGAAATAGTCGTGGGGCTCATGGCAGTGGTGGTGGGTCTCGGACGAGGATGGCATGCAGCTCTTTGAAAAAGTGGCATGTCTGCGGCTCTTATCATAGAAGATTAGGGTTGGAAGAGAGCTTAGGGGGTCATCTAGTCCAACCCCCTGCTCAAAGCAGGACCAACACCAACTAAATCATCCCAGCCAGGGCTTTGTCAAGCTGTGCCTTAAAAACCTCTAAGGATGGAGATTCCACCACCTCCCCAGGTAACCCATTCCAGTGCTTCACCACCCTCCACTATCCAATCTACTGCAACTTGAGACCATTGCTCCTTGTTCTGTCATCTGCCACCACTGAGAACAGCAGAGTTCCATCCTCTTTGGAACCCCCCTTCAGCTAGGTGAAGACTGCTATCAACCCCCCCCCCACACACACACACACACACTCTTCTCTTCTGCAGACTAAACAAGCCCAGTTCCCTCAGTCTATCCTCGTAAGTCATGTGCCCCAGACCCCGAATCATTTTTGTTGCCCTCTGCTGGACTCTCTCCAATTTGTCCACATCCTTTCTGTAGTGGGGGGCCCAAAACTGGGCGCAATACTCCAGTTGTGGCCTCACCAGTGCCGAATAGAGGGGAACAATCACTTCCCTCAATCCACTGGCAATGCTCCTACTAATGCAGCTCAATGTGCCATTAGCCTTTGTCATAAATATAAAGGGAATGATAACCACCTTTCTGTATACAGTGCTATAAAATCCCTCCTGGCCAGAGGCAAAATCCTTTCACCTGTAAAGGGTTAAGAAGCTACGGTAACCTCGCTGGCACCTGACCCAAAATGAGCAATGAGGGGACAAGATACTTTCAAATCTGGAGGTGGGGGAAAAGGTTTTTGTCTGTCTGTGTGATACCTTTGCCGGGAACAGATCAAGGATGCAAGCTCTCCAACGCCTGTAAAATTAGTAAGTTATCTAGCTAGAAAATGCCTTTTGGTTTTCTTTGTTTTTTGGCTTGTAAATTCGCTGTGCTGGATGAAATGTGTATTCCTGTTTTTGTGTCTTTTTGTAACTTAAGGTTTTGCCTAGAGGGATTCTCTATGTTTTGAATCTGACTGCCTGTAAGATTATCTTCCATTCTGATCTTACAGAGTTGTTCTCTTATCTAGTGTTTTTTTTCTTCTAATAAAGTTCTGATTTTTAAGACTCTGACTGGGTTTTTTGGGTCTTAAAAATCCAAGGGGTTTGTGCTCATCTTGTTTATTCTCAAGCCTCCCCAGGAACGGGGGTGTAAGGTCTTGGAGGGATATTTTGGGGAAATAAGAACTCCAAGTGGTCCTTTTCCCTGGTTCTTTGTTAAAGCACTTGGTGGTGGCAGCGTTTTACCTAATCCAAGGGCAGAGACTTTGTGCCTTGGGGAAGTTTTAACCTAAGCTGGTAGAAATAAGCTTAGGGGGTCTTTCATGTGGGTCCCCACATCTGTACCCTAGAGTTCAGAGTGGGGAAGGAACCTTGACAGCCTTCTTGGCAACAAGGGCACACTGCTGACTCCTATCCAGCTTCTCATCCACTATAATCCCCAGATCCTTTTCTGCAGAACTGCTGCTTAGTCAGTCGGTCCCCAGCCTGTAGCGGTGCATGGGATTCTTCTGTCCTAAGTGCAGAACTCTACACTTGTCCTTGTTGAACCTCATCAGATTTCTTTTGACCCAATCCTCTAATTTGTCTAGGTCACTCTGGACACTATCCCTACCCTCCAGTTTATCTACCTCTCCCCCCAATTTAGTGTCGTCTGCAAACTTGCTGAGGGTCCAATCCATCCCATCATCCAGATCATTAATAAAGATGTTGAACAAAACTGGCCCCAGGACTGACCCCTGGGGCATTCCGCTTGATACTGGCTGCCAACTAGACATCGAGCCGTTGATCACTACCCGTTGAGACCAACAATCTAGCCAGCTTTCTATCCATCTTATAGTCCATTCATCCAGTACATACTTTTTTAACTTGCTGGCAAGAATACTGTGGGAGACGGTATCAAAAACTCTCCCCCAGAGTGACTGATAGCCTCCATTGCCGCCTTGACACGTGTGGTGCTGCTGTGTGTCCCTCCTGTAGCCCTCGCCTACATGCCCCGAATCATCTGCTCATAGATACTGACATTTCTATGGCTGGATCAGAGCTGTGTCTGCACAATCTCTTCTTGCCACGGACGTAGAAGATCCACCACCTCCTGTATAGTCCAGGCAGGAGCGTGTCTGCAGCATGGAGCAGGCATGGTCAGCTGCGCAGTTGCTAGGTGTGCTCTCCATGCTGAGCAAATAGGAAATGGAATTTCAGAAATTCACGGGGTTTTGTCACAGGTTTACTCACCACACTGGCACCTCCTACTTGGAGGGAATAAGCTCAGTTACAGCAGGTGCACCCTCAAGTGCTGGTGCTTTTCCCGTCCTCACCTCTGCCTGTAGACCCGTTATGGCTCCTTTCTCTCCACGTCTGCTTTGTGGCACAGCCCTCTGGCCGTGTCACAATCTGGTTTTCCCACCTTCCGCGGGACTCCTCTAACAAGAGTCCAGCCACTCCTTGCGGCGGCTTGGCAGTCCACAGCTGGGCTGCTCCGTCAGTGGCTAGTGGGTGGTGGGGCAGGGGCCCACTAGTCTGGGCCCTGGCCCAGGGACCCTGCAAACAGCAGCTTCCTTCCAGCTCATTGTCTCTGTTCCCTGGGCCACTTCCCCGCAGCCTCAGTTCCTTCTGCTCCTGCCTCTGGCTCCAGCTCCTTGCCCTCTTCCCAGGGCCTTGAGCTGATAAATCATGGCAGCTCATCAGGAGCTCTCTCTAGCTCCCCCAGTTCCTGTTAGCACCTGCCCTTACCCAGGTGCTGGTCTCTCTCTAGCCTTCTAGGAAGCCAGTTTTCTCCCTAGGGCTCCCTGCAGCAGACTATCTCATTCTGCTCTGCAGCTTCCTTTTACATGGGCCATCTGGCCCCTGACTGGCTGGTCCAGCCGCCACCCTAATTGTCTGTTTTCCCTGCAGCCACTCCTTTTGGCTGCCTGCTGCTCAGCCTCCCTAGGCTGGTTTAAACCCTCTCAGAGCCAGCACAGGGCAGGCACCCCATCACAGGCTTTAAAAGGGGAAGGGCTTATACTTGGCCTCCGGGCAGCGAAGTTCAAAACAGTGACTAGAGCAATCACAGTGGGGTATTATGAGACATCTCCTGGAGGCCACTAAAGTCAATGTAAGTAATGCAGTGTCTACACCAGGGGTGGGCAAACTTTTTGGCCTGAGAGCCACATCTGGGTATGGAAATTGTATGGCAGGCCATGAATGCCCAGTGGGGAAGGGGGACTCTGGGGGTGTAACATGGGGGAGGGCTCTATAAGGGATGTTACTGAGGTGAGGGGAGAGGGGACTCATGGGATGGGGCGAGGGGGTGCTCTACAGGGCCAGTACTGGAGACTCCTAGGGTCCATGCCGGCAATGACACCAAGGCAGCCGTGCCAGACACTGCTACGGGCGGAGGCACCGTAGCTGGGATGGGTGTGGCCCCTGAGTGGTTTCGAGGATCTTGAGGGTGGTGCCATGGGGGGATTGGGCTTGATAAAAACGTCTGAGAGGTTGGAAGCGGTCCGTGGACCATAGTTGGCCCACCCCTGGTCTACATTGACGCTGCATCATCCTAACTACGTTGACCTAAGTGCTATGCCTTTCGTGGAGGTGGAGTTAAGTTGGTGTAGCGGGCAAGTTACATCATCGGGAGAAACATTTTGGTGTAGTGCTCACAGAGTTAGGCAAGGCAGCTTACGTCGATCTAACTCTTTATTGTGGATCAGGCCTTAGGCTGAATATCAGGACCTCTTCCTAATCTGCTATTCTGTAGAAGAGTGTTCAAAGGGAAGTGGTAGAAGCCTTATTCCTTGTAATTGAAAGCTAGATGGCACAAAGCACTGGTGAATATACTGTAGCAAACAATCCTTCATTGACAGGGGACTGTATACCTCAAGAAGTTTTTTCTATCTCTAATTTCAGTGGTTCAAGGAGTTGCATATTTAGTGGCCTGCTTGGGGCAAGAGGGCAGTGTAGGACAAGACAGAAAATATGAAGAGATGATTTAGGGTCTTTATAAATAACTGAATAGGCTTGATAAAAGACACATCAAAAATGCTTTAACAATGCTTTTTTCCTTTAAAAACACTAGAAATTAAATGTAAAAATGAATATTAGTGCATTGCTAGGGTAGACGATATGCGACAATTCCATAAGATATCATTTCTACTGCAATCCTTATTCTGGCATGATGCAGATGTATAATATTTTCCATTTCTTTGTTCCTGGGTAAAAGATAAACCTTAATGTATTAGTGTGTATTTACATATACCATAAAATATAGGTTGTGCAACATGGCTCAGTTATTGTTGAAGTAAAAACAATAACTTTTGGACTTATTTTTTTGCTTAACGGTGAATTAATGTTTGAGTTTTATTTTAATGTAAGGACATTCCAATCAAATGCTACTTTAAAAACCTAAGATTATGAAAAACTGTTACAAATATACCCCATTATTTTAATTTTTTTCAGATGGAAAGGATACTCAAGATGAACAGGAAAAAAGCCCAAAGGAACAACTGAAACCAGCTGAAAAGCTAGACGCTAACAATGCTGATGAAAGCAACAAAGCTGATGAAAACAGCAAAGGCGATAAGACTGAGTAAATTTAAGTTATTTTTAAAAACTTTACTTTTCCAAGAAAATTACAAGACCAGCATCTAAATCAAATTTGTCTTTCACAGAATTACCTCTGCAAATCCACCCTATAATAGTCTCATACCTCGTGAGGTCAGGAACTATTTAAAAGCATTTTAATTGTTAAAGGACATGTTTGTCAACCCATAGGACCAATCATGTTTCAGCTGAGAATAAGATAGACCCATGTCTTTAATTCCTCTCGTTCCCCTGGCGACACACTTCTAATGGTTAAGAGCCAATACACCCCCACTGGTTCTTTCCACTCTGTGGTTAAAGGAGCATCAGCTTTTTTCCCCACCATTTTGTAAAACTTTTTGTCTTACAGAGTTGCTGTATCTATACTTGACACTTTGTAAATCAAGCTGGTGGGATTGGAACAGGTTATCTATGGCCAGGAATCCTCTATTTGATCCCTCAATGTTAACTACCTTGTCATTCTCCAGAAATCACCTTTCTTGCAGTCATTTCACCCAGAAAGGTGATCTAAATCGAGGCCCTGATTGCTGATCTTTCCTTTATGTGTTTTCACAAAGATAACTCAGTGCTTAATCCTCAACTTAAATTTTTATCCAGAGTGGTATTCAAATTCCATCCTAACCAGATCTCTACCATTCTGGCTGTCTTCCTGAATCTTATGGGAGGCTTGGTAGGACTAAGTTGCATGTTGAGAGGGCCAATAATGATTACGCAGGACCAAACCCTTCTGGAAATCATTCCAGTTGTTCACCTCTTTTTAAGAAAAGCTCAAGGGAAATTATCTCAGCCCAGCAATTGTTAAATAGAGCCAGGACAGTTATGAAAAGGCTCTGGTGCCAGAAGGATTCAAAAGTTATTCTATTAACATAGTAGCTGTCACCACGTCTTGACTCTATACTGTTTCTTTCAGTTCACATCTTTATTCAATACTGTTCTCTTAAAACTGGAGCAAAATCAGATTCTCATTTGTGGAGGGCAGTCCTTTAGTCCCTTTTCAGTTAAAGATTCTTACAGTATCTACCTGGAGATTTCTAATCTCCTACAGTGGCTCTGCAGGGACAATCCTGTGAAAGAGCAAGTATATTAAGCACTATTACAAACACCGTACATAACACAATGGGGGCCTAGTCCATGACAGGGATTCCTAAGTGCTATGTTTATTATCTGGAGTTCACAGTGTGCGTTGCCTCAGGCTATCCTTTTCTGATACACCTTCCTTTCATGCTTCTTTGGACTCATGCTAGATCTCAGGGAGGAGAGGAACTGATTGAGGTCATGGATCTCTTATATTTGTGGCTGGAACTTTCGTATCTGAGGCTGATGCCTGCATGTCCCCTAACAATAGCTTTGATCGTTCCAGGACTTGCAAAAGGTGGCTTTCACCTACAAAAGTACCGATACTAAGTAACCTTACCCATATAAATGTACACTTAGGCCTGGTCTACACTGGGGGGAAATCGATCTGTTACACAACTTCAGCTATGTGAACAACGTAGCTGAAGTCGACGTATTTAGACCCATTCACCGCGGTGTTTTCACTACGCTGAGTCGACTGCTGCTGCTCCCCCATCGACTCTGCCTGCGCCTCTCGCTGGAGTACAAGAGTTGATGGGAGAGCGCTCGGGGGTCGATTTATCGCATCTAGACAAGACGCGATAAATCAACCCCTGCTGGATCGATCGCTGCCCGCTGATCCGGCCGGTAGTATAGACATACCCTTATTTACTCAGCATCTCTGTAGTTACATATGAAGTTTATTTTGTATCAATTTATAACCATAAATTTTATGTAAAGAAAACTTGTCTTAACTCATAAAGCTCTTATATGAATCAAATTATACTGTACTTAAAAGGCTTCAGTATTACACAGTAATATATTTAGAAACCGTATGGTTTTAGTACTGCACTGAGAAAGTTTTTGCTTGATGTTATTTAAGAATATTGACCTGTGAGTTTAAAATTGAAGATTTCAGCCTTTATTTTATAAATTACACTTCATTATTGTACAAAAAGATGCATAAATCAGTTTCATAACGAGGACAGGACATTTCTATTCCAGATCTTTTCTCCCACTAGCAAATATGTAAGTGATCTCTCAGATTGTATTCCAGTAACATGATTCATCAAATTATAAATTTGTCCCAAACCTTAACTATTGTTAGAGAAAATATGCTTGTGAAGGAAATGGGCCTTTGGTTCCTGCAACAGGTAGAGTTGATAATGGACAGTCTCGGTGAGCTGAAGTTTTTGCCACGTCGAATTACTCATATTCAAGTCATCTGTCTACTTCCTGACCTGGGATCATGTTGGCAGGATTCTGAGTTGGGTATCTGTCTTAACTTTGCAATTCCTAGCATATCATAACTTTAATAACAAGTTAGGAAATATGAAGTTCAGATAGATATTAAACTTCTGTCATTAGGGAAGGGAAGGACAGTAATGAGTCCCAAATGTTGTTTTGAATATCCTTTTTATTTTTCTCAGTTAGTGTCATGTTAGCATTCTTGCTGTACAAGACACAAAGATTAAGACAATCTCTTTCCAATTTAAAAGAAGCACTGTCTTTTTCTATTATTATTATTTTATTTTATTAATTTTATTATGAATTCACAAATTGTGGGTGCCACACAAAGAGGGGTTTGAATGAGGAGAGCAGTAGATTTGTCAACTGTAATTACAAGAACATTCCATACCTATGGGACAAACAGTGTTAGATTGAAAGCAGGCTTTTGTATTCACTGCCTTCACAGTAATTTTATTGACTGATTACTCTTTTTCTGTAAATCAGTTAGTTGAACATTATATATGTGTATACTCTATATTTCAAAAGGTGTGATGACAGCAAACAATCAAAAGGTGAAGACAAGGAAATCCAGGTGAGTATTTGATCTATCAGAAGATTGTTCCAGTTAAAAATAATCCTTTATTTCCTTTTAAGTTTTTTCTTTGACTATGATGCATAAGAATGTTGCAGACCTGTATTCTGGCATATGCAATAGCAGCAAGTTACATTAAGACAGTAACTTTTATGGAGAAACATTTTATTTTTATATTTTGTAGTAGGGCTTACTATTTCCCCTATAATACATACAAACTTCTGTTGCAAACGTCTGCAATAGTAAAAATGCTCCAGTATGAATGTACACTATAACTTGAGTTAACAGAATGGTTTCATATTCGTTACCCGTGAGCTGTATATGGCCCAACCAAATATTTCATAAGGCCCAGGGCCTGCTTCAACACAATATACTAACGGACAATTCATTAACGTTTTGTCGTCACGTTTACATCATTTTAGTTTACACAAGTGTGTAAATAGACAATACTGTACATAGGTTGTTTGTATCTAAATACATATGACACAAGCTGAACTTAAAATATAAATCAATATAGGTGACTTTAAATCTTGTTAAAACATGTACAATCTGTTTTGCCCACACAAGGTTGTGCTTAGGTTTATGTGGCCCTCCTGTGTAATAGGGTTGGGCACCACTGACCTGAATCATACAAATAAGAAATCCTCAGGGTGTTTTTATCTCTATTGTTTTACAGGATAAAGAGAAAGATAATGATGATGAAATACAATCTGAAGAATTCACCAGCCATGAAGAACTATTAGGATATTTGGTAGGTGTTAAATTTATGTTGAGCCAAGTTTGATGGAAAATTTAATGAAATATTTAATGTAGCGTGTAGTTGATTAAGACTGTAGTCAAAAAGTAGAAGATACATTGAATGTAAAACATAGGTAGTCTGTTAATTAAAAAATACTACTTTTATGTATGATGATTCCACCTGGAACAAAAATTTGGATTGGGATTCTGATGGGAAGAAAATCTAAGAGAAAATATACTTCAGGCGTGCTGGCAGTTTCTCGGAGACCGTATCAAAGGCATAACAGCAAACTATCCCAAGGTGAAGGTAAGATAGGAAGAACAGTAAGAGGCCAATATGGCTGCATGAGGCACTCTTTAATAGCCTAAAAATAAAAAAAGGATCCTATTAAAAAGTGAAAATGTGGACAGATTGTGAAAGATAAGTACAAAAGAATAGTACAGGCATATAGGGACAAAATCAAGAAGGCTAAGGCACAAAATGAGTTATATCTAGCAAGGGACATAGAAGGAAATAAGAAGAGGGTCCATAAATACATTAGGAGGAAGAGAGATGAAGGAAAGAATAGGTCCACTGCTTAGTGGGGAAGGAGAATGAATAATGGACAACATAAAGATGGCCAAGGTGTTTAATGCCTGCTATTTCACTTCAGTCTTCACTGAAAAGATTAATTGTGACTTGATGATTAACACAATTAATATTAACAAGAGGGAAGGAACATAAGCCAGAATATGGAAAGACTAGGTTAAAAAAATTGAGATAAATTGGATGTATTCAAGTCAGCAAGGCTGTTGTATTAATTTAAATGGAATAAATGGGCCAAAAGAGTCAAAGATTAACATGACCCTGTCACTATCCAACAGCAAACAGTGTTAAACACAGTTTGGGGTTTGGTATACAGAGAACTCAGCCTGCTTAATACCATGGCAAACACACGAAAATAACAGAGGAAATTCAGTGTTAATAAATGCAAAATAATGCACAATGGAAAACTTAATCCCAACTATACATACAAAATTATGGGGTCTAAATTAGCTGTTACAACTGAAGAAAAAGATCTTGGAGTCATTATGGATAGTTATCTGAAAACATCCACTCAATGTGCAGCAGCAGTCAAAAGCAAACAGAATGTTGGGAATCATTAGGAAGGGGATAGATAATAAGACAAAAAATATATTGCCTCTATATAAATCCATGGTACACCCCATCTTGAATACTGTGTGCAGATGTGGTTGCCCCATCTCAAAAAAGATATATTGGAATTGGAAAAGGTTCAGAAAAGGACAACAAAATGACTAGGTGTATGGAACAGCTGCCATATGAGGAGAGATTAATAAGATTGGGATTTTTTAGCTTGGAAAAGAGACGACTAAGGTGGGGATATGATAGAGGTCTGTAAAATAATGACTGGTGTGGAGAAAGTAAATAAGGAAGTGTTATTTAATCCTTCTCATAATACAAGAACTAGGGGTCACAGATGAAATTAATAGGCAGTAAGTTTAAAACAAACAAAAGGAAGTATTTCTTCACACAACACACAGTCAACCTGTGGAACTCTTTGCCAGAGAATTTTGTGAAAGCCAAGACTATAACATTGTTAAAAAAATATATAGATACATTCATGGAGGATAGGTCCATCAATGGCTATTAGCCAGGATGGGCAGGGATGGTGTCCCTAGCCTCTGTTTGCCAGTAGCTGAGAATGGGCGACAGGGGATATATTACTTGATGATTACCTGTTCTGTTCATTCCCTCTGGGGCACCTGGCATTGGCCACTGTCAGAAGACAGGATACTGGGTTAGATGGACCTTTGGTCTGACCCAGTGTGGCCATTCTTATTTTTTCAACAGTTTATTAAAGATGAAGAAAAAACCATTAAAGCATTTGAAATGTAAAATATTAAAGTTTTTGTTTTAAAAACATCCCTTATTTCCTTTCCCTTTAGCTGAAGAGAGTTTTTAGAAAGAGAACCCCTTTGTTTGACAGTTTTTTACATGGTATTAAAGGTGGCAGTAGCTGTTGAGATGGCTTGGAGCCGTTGTTGCTGAGGCCTGATCCTTTTTCCTAGAAGACAAAACAAGACAAACGCATACCAGAGGGGATAGAAATGAACCGCAAAGATAGGAAATACAGCTTCTGTCTCTGATGTTGCCTCACGCTTGCAACCTTACTGCTGGAAAAACATGGACATGGCACATGGTCTTATTAGCCACTCCAAAATCTGCAAAAGTGTATCAGCATTGGGCTGTTAAAGAGGGAGCTAAAAGTAATGCCCTCAGGTCACAGGCTCACAGCAGTGTTGTAAAATATGCAGTCCTGGTTGGCAGAGCCAGATTCTTTTATTAGACAGAAGATGAAAAGAGAAGGATAGGAAAGAGAATTAATAAGGTGGTAAAGAAGAAGGTCACGCTAGGGCAGGTGCGGGTGTGTGACAAAGTCACATCCCAGATGTTGTTTGGGATTTAGCTAGAACCAGTGAAAATGACAATGTCATCTGGGTCTCTCTTGGCTTGGTTTGGTCAGGATATTTCTCTGGATTAGGATAGTGATGGCACAGTGGTGTCATGCTGGATCTCAAGGTCCCAGGAGATGATGGGGCCTGGCAATCATCATGAAATCACTCCTTCCCCCTCTTTCAGTCAGTCAGTGTCTCAGTAGCCAGCTTTTCCACCAGTGTCTCTTCTTGAGGACCCCAAAAGGGAGTGATGGTCAGGATAGCCTTTCATCATCCCTTCATTATTTTGTTTACCAGTTTTGGTTCACCAGTTTTTCAGTCCCACACTTTCTTGTTCACCAGGCATGATCTTAACACAATCCTTGAGTTATAGCAGTAGTGCTTTTTGGAGTGGGCGGCCGGGGGGGGACGACAGACTAATTCTGTCTCTGTCTCGCTTTTGTGTCTTTTCCCATTAACATTTGTTGGTAAAGGTTATTGTGACATTTTATGAATATTACTTTTTATAGTGGAGCTCACAATTAGGATAAATTTGTAGGCCCAATTATCACAGTAGACCTGATTAAATTAACTGTAGGATACTTACAAATCTAGCTAAAGCAATCACAGAACCATTAGCGATTATCTTTGAGAACTCATGGAGGATGGGTGAGATCCCAGAGGACTGGAGAAGGTCAAACGTAGTACCTGTCTTTAAAAAGGGTAACAGAGAACCTGGGGAATTATAGACCAGTCAGTCTAACTTTGATACCTGGAAAGATATTGGAATAAATCATTAAAAATTAATATGTAAGCACCTAGAGGATAATAGGATGATAAATAATAGTCAATACGGATTTGTCAAAAATGTCTCATATCAAACTAACCTAATTTCCTTCTTGGTCAGGTTTACTGCCCTAATGGTTAGGAGGAAGCATGAAATGTGAGATTTCGATTTTTAGTAAAGCTTTTGACACAGTCCCCCACGTGACGTTCTCATATGCAGACTAGGGAAGTATGGTCTAGATGAAATTACTATAAAGTGGGTGCACAACTGGTTGAAAAGCTGTGCTCAGAGTAGTTATCAATGGTTCATTGTCAAGATGGGATGATATATCAAGTGGGGGTTCCTGCAGGAATCTGTCATTGATTTGGTGCTATTCAGTATTTTCATTAATTACTTGGATAATGGACTGAGAGTACACTTATAAAATATGCAGATGACACCAAGATGGGAGGGATTGCAAGCACTTCAGCAGACAGGAGTAGAATTCAAAATGATTTTGTTAAATTGTAGAATTAGTCTGAAATCAACAAGATGAAATTCAATAAAGATAAGTACAAAGTATTTCACTTAAGAAGGAAAAATCAAATGCACAAATACAAAATGGGGAACAACTGGCTAGACAGCAGTACTTCTGAAAAGGATTTTGAGATTATAGTGGATCACAAACTGAATATGAGTCAGGAATGTGATGCAGGTGAGAAAGAGGCAAATATAGTTTTGGGGTGTATTAACAGGAATATAATGGTATGTAAGATGCAGGAGGTAAATGTTCCACTCCATTTGGCACTGGTGAGGTTTCGGCTGGAGTACTGCATCCAGTTTAGGGCATCACAGTTTAGGAAAGATGTGGAGAGAGTCCAAATTGGAGAGAGTCCAAAGGCAAGCTATAAAACTAGGTATATTTTATCTTGAGAAAAGAAGACTGAGGGAGGGCCAAATAACAGTACTCAAATGTGTTAAGGGCTTAGCAGATATATGTGACTGCTGCTTTCCAACAGAGCCTGGCTACTTCCTGGTTCGGGACCCTTCCCCTTACCTAGTCAGAAGAAAGGAAATAGAGTCAGAAGGGGGCTGATGTCAGTTGTAGTCTTCTGCTTAGCAGATCCATTGCACATGGGATCAGTCCTGGAATTTGCCTCCTGCACAAGATTATGCAGAAAACTTCCTTTTCTCTGCCCAGTAGCAAGAGAGCAATGGAAAGTAGGCTGTTTTGTGCTCTGCTAGGGGAGCATTGATCTCAATACCTTATTATGCTGATCCATTCTTGTATCTGGCATCTGTATCTTGGTTTGAATTACACATTTTGGAATTGCTCTTGATGCCCACTAACCGTCTTCACTGGAATACTCTGCTGTTTAAATATGAGGCTCTAAATGTTTAGCTTCTTTCATTATAGAATTTCTGTTTTTCTCCAGTTCACCCACTGCTGTCTCTCCTTGCTTCCTTGTTGAACTTTAGCTTTCAGTTGCGATTTGTTCAGTCTCCTGTTCGTTAGCATCTGGGCTGAAGATGCACCCATCTCCATTGTTGAGTTTTAACACTTTCAGTGATTGAGTTGCTGTCCCTCTTTACTTGCTTTAGTTAAAATATAGTATGCTTATTGTTCAGGTAATCTATTTGGAGAAAATATGGACTGCATAAATTTTGAGTGATACTTTAGTTCAGCGGTTCTCAAACTGTGGGTCAGGATCCCAAAGTGGGTCGTGACCCCATTTTAATGGGGTTGCCAGGGCTGGCTTAGACTGGCTGGGTCCCGGGGCCAAAACCTGAGCCCCACGGCCCGGGGCTGAAGCCCGAGGGCTGCAGCCTTGGATGGCGGGGCTCAGGTTACAGGCCCCCTGCCTGGAGCTGAAGCCATTGGGCTTCTGCTTTGTTCCCCTGCCCAGAGTAGTGGGACTCGGGCTTTGGGCCCCCCCCGACCCAGGGCAGCGGAGCTCGGGCAGACTCAGGCTTCGGTCCCCACTCCTGGAGTTGTGTAATAATTTTGTTGTCGGAAGGGGGTCGTGGTACAATAACGTTTGAGAACCCCTGCTCTAGTTTTTTTAGAAGCAATGAAGAATACAGTGGCTTTCTGATTTAGAAGAGCTTATATTTTAATGTGATTTATGATAACCTTAGTCATCACTGCCATAATTTCATTAGCTCAAAAAAAAATCCACTGGTGTTAGTAATCTATTATCAGCTTCCCTTTACTAAATATTTATTTTGCATGTTTGTTATTAGCTGCTGTTTTGTTTATAGGATTCTCTTTGAAAAATAGTGATGCAAACTCAAACAGAACAAATACTGTTTGTTTTTAAAAGTAATCTCAATTGTCCATTGATAAATTATTTGGTGTATTGGTTGCTTTGTGATTACATAGATATTGAGATACTGGCTTTGACTTGTAAAACCTTGAGTGTCTTGGGACCTGCCTCTCTCTGCATGCAATATTGTCTCAGTTGTGATCAATAAAGGTGGTCAAGCTGGAATCTTCTCACTTTAGGAGAAGATACTGATCGGGCAGTTTTGTGGGGGCCCCTAACTTTGGAATTCATGTCCGCCTCTGAAAATAGACTGAATTTGTTAACCTTTGGGGCTTGCTTCAAGGCTCTTTTATACACTCAGGCTCTTAAGGAAAGCAGCTGAGGCTTAAATTCACTTTGGGTTTTTTTTGCTATTTGGGGAATGATAAAGCTGCTGAATTTGTTGATTCTTGTATGAATATTACTATGAGAAAATTATATAAGCGTGTAACTCCAATTGGTACTCTTAAAGGTGTTTCTATATAAACTGAAATAAAATTTGATGTTACAAGCAAAGCAGTAAGTAATCTAATCGCTCATCTATGCCATAGATGAAAAGTTAGATTGTCTCCTTCGTCTTTTAAAATGTGTTTTGATTTTTCACCTTTTTTTTCCAGCAAAGCTTTGAGATACTGAGTGAAGATGATGCATCCTTTATCTTAAAGGTTACACAAACCCTTACGAATGCATTGGTGGAATATCGGCAACAGGTTGCACCAACAAATGTAATTTTGTATATTTTAGTAAATGATTGAATCTGTCTTGACTTCTGTGACCTATAAAGAGTACAGATCAGGTATTCATACTGGAACAGAATGGACATGGGTGCAACCTCCAAGTTTTGGCCATCGAGATTTTGAAAGATTTATAGTGAAGATAGTATGAGAAAATCATAGCTTTTCCTGTACAGTTGTAACATTTTTTTGCTTCCCTTTGATTGCCGACTAGAAGTGCATGAAATATTCTAATAAAAGTTATGACAATTTGCCTGATTTAGGGGCCATTTTAAAAAAAGTATTTGAAATCTTGTTCTACATTTTCTTCACTATATCTTATTGAAAGTTTGAAATCCATTTTGGCTTAAAAGTTCATACCTTTGAGTGATACCATTTTTGGTGCCTAAAAGCCATGTGGGCTGGAGGATTAAGCAAAGAGCTTGAAGCTAGAACATCCTAAATCCTGCTTCTGTCTTTTCCAGTGATTGGCCTTATTAGTGTGTTCTCATATACACACTATTAAGGCCCAGTCCTGCAAACATTTAATTATGTGCATAACATTATTCATGTGAGTAGTTCCACTGACTTCTGTAGGACTATTTGCATGAGAACACTTCAATCTTTTTGATCACTCAATTACAGACCTAAAAGTGGCAATTCTTCAACAAAAAAACTTCAAAACCAGACTCCAATGAGCGACTGCTGAATTGGAATTAATTTGCAAACTGGATACAATTAATTTAGGCTTGAATAAAGACTGGGAGTGGATGGGTCATTACACATTATTTCCCCATGTTTATTCCCCCTCCCCCTTCCTCAGATGTTCTTATCAACTGCTGGAAATGGCCCACCTTGATTATCACTACAAAAGGTTTCTTTCTCCCCCTCTGCCTCCCCGCTCTCCTGCTGGTAATAGCTCACCTTACCTAATCACTCTTGTTACAGTGTGTATGGTAACACCCATTGTTTCATGTTCTCTGTGTATATAAATCTCCCCACACTGTATTTTCCACTGAATGCATCTGATGAAGTGAGCTGTAGCCCATGAAAGCTTATGCTCTGATAAATTTGTGAGTCTCTAAGGTGCCACAAGTCCTCCTTTTCTTTTTGCATGAGTAAAGTTACACATGTAATTAAGTATTTGCAGGATTGGGTGTAGGTCAGTAAATATATAATTATCCTAATTTTCTTGTCTGTGTCAAAAGCAGGAATAAAACTCTGATCTTTTGGGCCTTCATCCTGTGCCTAATACATTGCTCCAAGGTACCCTGCCTCAGGGTACTTTGGAAAATTGGGAATCACAAATTTCCAATAGTATATAAAGCTTTTGCTTTCATGACTGGTGGTTTATGGAGATATGGGCTCTTTAGTGTGGTTTTTTTGGCTAGCACATTGTGCCTTTTTGTCACTGGAGTGGGACTTAATGATAGCAAATGTTCTTTCCCTAAAAATTTTACTTGCTACTAACTCTAGCATAACAAGTTTTTTAGATGTACGTTTTTGGAAACTCTTATTTAACCCATCAGTCTGGAGTTTTTTTGGTGAAGATACTGTTCCTGTTTCTTCTCTCCTGAAGTGTTCTCCTGACCTAATTTTAAGAGCTGATTGTTTAAAAAACTTGAAAGAAGTTATGCATGCAATTTTCTTTAAACTTTTAGGACTCTTTAGATTCTGAACCAAACCAAGAAAAAACAATTGAACATTCCACAGAACAATCTGAAGCGACTTCGGTGGATATTAGTGACTCTAACACTGGTAAAGCTTTAAGAATTTAAGACTCCATTTCTTTAAATATATTTTAACCCTAACATTGAGTTGTGTGAAAACTTCTAGTATTTTTTTTTCTGCTTCACTGAAGCAGAGTTTCAAAATGATCAAGTTCAAGTAGTTTACATTAATGGGGTTCTCTTTCTCCAGAGATATAGGAAGGTATATCAACCAATCAGAAAATAAAGGCTATTCACACACTAAATTTAAATGTAGAAATATATGGGACTTTTAAAATTTATGGCTCATTAGATTGTCCCACTGGAAATGAATGGGAGAGTTCTTTGTTTCCTGCAAGCACATGCTAGTCTTTAAATGGACAACAAATATGCAGTTTGAACATTTGCAACTTAAAATGTTCTAGCTCTTGTTGAATTGATAGAGGCTAATTATTTTAAAAAAATTAATGTGCTCAGAAAAGTCTTTATTCCCAAAGAAAGAATGCAAGTTCTGAAGTCTTAAAACTTGAATTGAAGTAGGAGAAAAGTATGTTTTAAAAAGATTATCTCCAGCATCTAAATGTGCTGGTCTGGAGAGAGGGAAATGTGATTGCACTTCCAGGAGGACTGATGAGGCTGGGTCATTGCATGGAAGCAAACAAGTCCATGATTTTGGTGCCGTATTCCTGAGTTAAGAGGGTTCATAGTCAGTCTTTTTTTTCCTTCCTCCTCCTCTCCCCCTTGAAGAGGAATAGACTAGACTCAGGTCCAGTCCACTCATGGAAATTGCAGAGTTAACTAAATTGATTTCTTAGCCAGCTTAGTTAAATGAGTGCAACTCTCCTTTATCCAGCAGCTGAACACTTTACAGCTTCTTAGCCTCCGTGGTTCTGCTCCTGATATATCAGTACAAGAAACTTGCGTCTTTCTACCGAAGGAGTTCATTCTTGGGACTAACAGGTTCTGTTTTTGTCATACCATCTGGTTTGATGGGGAACACACTCCCATGCCAGTAAATAAAAATATCCAGAAATTCCAGTGCACCTCCTTTCGCTGTAACTTTTTGATAAGGTGACAATATTTCCTAAGAAGCATAGCATCTTAAAATTTCGATTAACATACCATTAGTGAAACTTGGAATTACCTGCAGTATATGAAGTTTTGGAACTATGTTCTTTTTTTTGTATACATAGTGGAAGTAACTTTTTTTTTCCTTGCAGGGTTTTCAGCAAATTATGTGTCAGACAGGAGGCAGCATCCTGCCCAACAACCTTATAACAACACCGCAACAAAGTCTAATGTTAGTGGAACATTCATGAAAAACGATTCACAATCAGTGAACTTTTCAAAAAACAATGCTACAAATTGGAAACGTGGGACTTTTCAATCCACATTTAGAAGATTAAGTAATGAATTAGAGTCTGCTGCTGAAGAGCAATATCCCTCCTCTTCTCAAAACATGTTTAATAGGAAGTTTTCATCTGCTACTGAGAGAGATGCACCCCAAAACTCTTTAACTGACTCTTTGAGAACATCATATGAAAACGATGTCACTACTGAATTTTTCAATAGTGTAAGAAATATGGATGCTGCTGAGGTTACGGCTACTCTACAGAAAATAGCAGCCACAAATCCAGCCTTCAGAGGTAATCTACTTGCATATGTATAACTTAATTTTGTTTGTAGTAATTTTTTTTAAATGATATCGTCAAAGTGGAGCAGAGCTGTACAGATAAAGTGTATTTTGTGGATTTATAAGGACAGAAGTTGTCGTCTTCTTTTAGTTCTTAATATTTTCAACTTGCCACTTTGTCAGGACCCACACTCTTTCTTAGGGGTGAATGTCAAAATGCTTGTTCTCCTCTGAAGATGTCATATGTATCTTAATTTTTATTGCCTTTCGGTATTTTCCTGTAAGCTCTTAGTAACGTTAACAAGTTTTTCCTATCATGAAGATTCAATTGACTAAAATCAAGCATGCCTTCTTTTAATAATAATAATAAATAATAAAAAAGTGAATCTAGGACTTGTATGGTAGTTAGTATGATGTTGTCTTTAGGGTTTGAGATTTATGGCATGTAAGAAGCCTTTGCTTGTACAATTCTTAGGAAGATGTGTACTCGTACTCAGTAATATTCTCAGTAAACAGCTCTTAATCAGGAGACAAGTATTTTCATCTCTCACTATAAGCTCCTAAGAGTCCCAGCTTCTGAACTCTCCCATATCTCTATATCCAACTCGTCTGCTACCCTCCCCTGACAAGCAGCTTATCCTCATTTCTAAGCCTCAAACACACAATTTCTATGTCCACCTGAAAATTTGGTAGCATTCTGATCATTAAGACTCCTGAGATAATTCTAATAAAATATGTATACATTTGTTTCATTTAGTATGAAATCTTCCAAAACTCATGAAAATGTCCAGATGTTTCATTAGTACATTTATGTATGTTTGTTTTAAAATAATCATTATTAGAAGAACTTTATCAGCAAATCACTCATCTTCTCTTCTCCCTTTTTTATTAAAGGTATTGACATTCCAAATGTGATAAGGATCTTGACTGAAAGTGGGACTCTTAGAGCACCAAACAGCAACAGTGTGCAGTGATATGGGAAAACAAGAAGTGAAATTAATATCGGAATGTGTAAACTGAAAATTTGTCACTTGTATGCAATTAATTTCAGTCTGTACAGTGTTACTTGTTATAACTCCAGAGTACTCGTTTGATTTTGCAGATTTGCGTGTTATATTTATTTCTCCCAATAGCTGGAATTTCTGTATTTGTGGAAAGAGACTATAATGTTGATTAAAAAAAAATATTTTTCCTTTGTTAAAGATTATCACTTTTTAAAATTACCCAAAAAATGGTTTAGCAATATCTTGGCTCGAAAGCTTTTGGGTTTTACATAGTGGAGGGCTAATCTTTTTTCTTAATTCTTCATAAAAATAACTAAAGAAAGGAATTGCATGGGTAGAGTAGAATATACAGGCTTGAACCTTCTAGGTCATTAGTTCAAATTTGACTCAAGATTATCTGTACCCGAAAGATACTTCCTTTTGCAGCTATTCTTTGGCCACTGGACCTGATCCAAAGCCCCCTTTTAGTCAAGAGAGAGACTCCATTGATTTATGTGGGCTTTGGATCAGGCCCCATCGTGTGAAATAAGATTATAATGTCAGTCTGGTTCCTGGTTGAGGTGTCCAAATTGCATGAAACCCATCAGTGTTGGAAACTTAATTGGAAGACTCCGCAAACAGGTCAGAGATTGATATGTGTCTCCAAATGATCTAGTCAGGTCATGGTTGAGATACAGTGCAGTGATTTTGTTTGCTCAGTGAGAAACGTAACCCAGTGGTTATCTCTGCCTGCTGTGTCCTGCATAATATCTATGAAGCAAAGGGAGAATAGTTGCCACTGGGGTGGAGGGCGGAGATGGAACGGCTGTCTACCGAGTTTGAACAGTCAGACACGAGCGCTGTTAGAAGAGCTCTACACAGATCCATACAGCTCAGGGAGGCTTTGAAAAGAGCACTTTAACAGTGAGCCACAGTAGTGTGTTGTGGTGTACTAAGCTCTAGCTGGCTCTGTAGTTTGGGGGCTTGTTTGGAATTTTTATGGTGCTTGCTGTACATTTATGATCATTACACTGTTTGCCACTGATCCTAGGAGTTGTGTCACAGTAGTTGTTATTGTATAAGTGCTTTCACTAATGCCAGGCATTCTGCAGCACAGATTGGGATCTAATAAAGATGAATTATTTTCCAAACAATCGAGATTAATTGACTAACAAAAACACTTCAAAAAATGTGTGTGCAAGCTAAAAGAAAATCCATACATTTAAGCTTTTAATATTAACAGAGTTTAAAGAAGGGAAAGGAACATTCATGTCTATTTTAGTTACACATACATCAACCACGGCTTTCACAGGTTTGTGCATGAGAAGCTGTGATTGTCCTTAATGTCCCCAAGGGTGGAGAAATAGGGTTAGGGATGTGGCCCCTGATGCCAAGTGGAGTGTGGCTTAGAAAGTGTAGAGAGGTGTTATACTGGAATTCTCCATGGACTGCAAAGGGAGGCGAGCTGGGATTGTTGAACCTGTAGGTCTACAAGAGTCTGCAGCATCTGTTTTTGCTCCCGGAGAAGCCCCATTATGTCTTGGTGCATCTCCCTCTCCTATTCCTGCTGAGATTCCTGGGCCTGGCTCCTGTCCTCTCTTTCCTTCTCCATACAATCTTCAATATTCATCCTCCAGGCCCTCTGTTCAAGGTCTGATGCAACACTGCCTTACAAGATCTTGATCAACATGTCATTCTGAGTCCACATCATTCAGGCATTCCATGGCTGCAATGGCAGCAGCTTCAGACAGAACACACAGAGGGACCGTTGTTAAGGTTAAAATTTTGTCATGGTTATTTTTGGTAAAAGTCAGAGAGTTCAGAGGCAATAAACAAAAAATCACGGGAGCCGTGATCTGTCCGTGACTTTTACTAAAAATAACGGGGGTGGGGGGAATGACAGAGCCCCATATGAGGGTACTGAGAGCCTGAGCCCCACTGTGGGAAGTGGGGGAACACAGCCAGGTTCCTGCTGCAACTGCAAGGGGGGGCACCCAGCTCTGGCTCCAGCTCTAGCCGCGGCCTTGGCGGGCACACAGCTCTAGCTGAAGTCACAGGTTGGGGGGACACAGCCTGGGTCAAAGCTGTGGTTTGGGGGTGCACAGCCCTGGTTGAAGTCGCAGGGTGGGGGCACACAGCCCTGTCTCCAGCTGCGAGGGAGATGCTCTTAGTTTTCACAGACAAGACTGTGGCAATATTTTACCTCCGCAGACAAGGTGGAGCGTAGTCTTTCCCACTCTGCTAAGAGGTGACTTCTCTTTCGGAAATCTGTATTTCCAATTCGGTGGATCTTGAAACATCTAACCTTCTGGGGGTGCAGAATGGTTTTGCAGACCCCCGCAACAGATCATTTATGAGTCGCCACAAATGGTCGCTTCACCTAGATGTGACCAGACACATCTTCCAATGGTGGGCATCTCCTCAGGTAGACCTATTTGCAACAAGAACCAGCAGAAAATGTCAGCAATTCTGTTCCCTGCAAGGCCGCAGCCAGGGTTCCCTGACAGATGTATTCTTGTTTCCCTGGTCAGACAGGCTCCTCTGTGCTTTCCTGCCAATCCCACTCGTTCACAAAGTCCTGCTGAAGATCAGACAGGACCACGTCAGAGTCCTATTCATAGCTCCAGTGTGGGCCCACCACCACTGGTTCTTCACACTCCCATATCTGTCAATGAAACCTCCAATTTTGCTCCCATTGGTCTTGGACTTAATTTCCCAAGGCCATGATTGGCTGCTTCACCTGAACCTCCAAGTGCTTCATCTAACCACATGGATGCTCCATGGTTAGATGGTAGAGAGCAGTCTTGCTCAAAAGAGGTGTAGATTGTCCTGCTAAATTGTAGAAAGCCATCCATGAGAGCTACTTGCCTTTCTAAGTGGAGACATTTTTCCATCTGGTTGTGTCATTCAGGGATTTTGCTGACCTACTTCTTGATCCGGCACATACTAGAATATCTACTATACCTGAAAGGTCAAGCGTTGGCCATTTGTTCTGCCAGAGTACACCTAGCGGCCGTTTCTGCATTCCAGCCTAAGGTGGATAATCAATCTGAGTTTTCTAATGACATGTCAATAAGATTTCTGAAAGGCCTATACAAATTATATCCTCAAGTGCACAATCCAGTTCCCAGTGGACCTCACCTTAGTGTTATCAAGACCAATGGCTCCACTCTTTGAGCCTTTGGCTACTTGCTTGCTGTTACATCTATCAATTAAGGTGGCATTGTTGGTAGCCACCGCTTCTGCTAAAAGAGTAGAAGAGTTTTGTGCGCCAATGTCATGGCCTTCCTATACAATATTCTTTAAGAACCGGGTCTACCTGCACCCTCATCTGAAGTTTGGCCCAAAGGTGGTGTCTGTGTTTCATGACAACCAGCCAGTTTACTTAACTACTTTATTCCTGAAACCACACATGAATAGGAAAGAGCTGTGTTTGCCCTTCCTAAATGTTAGAAGAGCACTGGCATTCTGGCTTGCTAGAATGAAGCAGTTCCATAAATTCTCTCAACTGTTCATGATGATCGTGAACAGAATGAAAGGTCAACTAATCTCTACTCAAATAATTTTTTCTTGGATAAAAACCTAAGAATGGCCATACTGGGTCAGACCAAAGGTCCATCTAGCCCAGTATCCTGTCTTCTGACAGTGGCCAATGCCAGGTGCCCCAGAGGGAATGAACAGAACAGGTAATCATCAAGTGATCCATCCCCTGTCGCCCATTCCCAGCTTCTGGCAAACAGAGGCTGGGGACACCATCCCTGCCCATCCTGGCTAATAGCCATTGATGGACCTATCCTCCATGAATTTATCTAGTTCTTTTTTTAACCCTGTTATGGTCTTGGCCTTCACAACATCCTCTGACAAGGAGTTCCACAGGTTGACTGTGCATTGTGTGAAGAAATACTTCCTTTTATTTGTTTTAAACCTGTTGCCGATTAATTTCATTTGGTGACCCCTAGTTCTTGTGTTATGAGAAGTAGTAAACAAAACTTTCTGATCTACTTTCTCTACACCAGTCATGATTTTATAGACCTCAATCATATCTCCCCTTAGCCATCTCTTTTCCAAACTGAAAAGTCCTAGTCTTATTAATTTCTCCTTATACGGAAGCCATTCCATACCCCTAATCATTTTTGTTGCCCTTTTCTGAACCTTTTCCAATTCCAGTATCTTTTTTGAGATGAGGCAACCACATCTGCACACAGTATTCAAGATGTGGGCGTACCATAGATTTATATAGAGGCAACATGATATTTTCTGTCCTATTATCTATCCCTTTCGTAATTATTCCGAACATTCTGTTCACTTTTTTGACTGCCGCTGCACATTGTGTGGATGTTTTCAGAGAACTCACCACCATGACTCCAAGATCTGTTTCTTGAGTGGTAACAGCTAATTTAGACCCCATCATTTTATATGTATAGTTGGGATTATGTTTTCCAACGTGCATTACTTTGCATTTATCAACACTGAATTTCATCTACCTTTTTCTTTGCCCAGTCACCCAGTTTTGTGAGATCCTTTTGTAGCTCTTTGCAGTCTGTTTGTGACTTAACTATCTTGAGTAGTTTTGCATCAGCTGCAAATTTTGCCACCTCACTGTTTACCCCTTTTTCCAGATAATTTCTGAATATGTTAAATAGGACTGGTCCCAGTACTGACCCCTGGGGGACACCACAATTTACCTCTCTCCATTCTGAAAACTGACCATTTATTCCTTCCTTTTGTTTCGTATCTTTTAACCAGTTACCAATCCATGAGAGGACCTTCCCTCTTATCCTATGACAGCTTACTTTCCTTAAGAGCCTTTGGAGAGCCTCATGTATGTGCATGTGTTACAACCTAGCTAATATCCTGCCAAATAAGATCACAGCTCATTCAACAAGATCACAATCAGCCTCCAACTCTGTTTCTAGTGAAAGATTCAGGTCTAGATATTTGTAGAGCGGCATTGGTCCTCGTTGCACATCTCATTATGCCATCACTCAAAGACTCGAGTGACCATGCTAGAGTTGGACATGTCCTTTAGATAGACCCCAATCCCATGTCCTGCCTCACGGCTTATGAGTCACAAAGAGTGGAATGCACATGTGCAATCACTCAAAGAAGAAAAAACAATTGCTAACCTGTTCTGTAACTGTTCTTTGAGATGCATTGCATGTGTCCATTCCAAAACCTGCCCTCCTCCCTCTCTGCATGGAAGTTACATCAAGAAAGGA